CCCATCTCTGAGAGACTGCTGTGTTTGTCAGGACGAGCTCCTGCAGGAAGTGATGTCACGTCTGCTTGTCGAGAGAAACCCATCGTGTGCACACTGTTGCTGTACTTAAATTTAACGCAATCATTTCAACTTAAATCATTGATCATATAATTATTAGTCAAGTCAATATCTGGAAAGATATTTGCGGTAAAGTGTGTTTTCTTACTTTAGAGGCACGAAACAAAATATTATATGATTTATATGCTGTAAAAATGACATTTAAGAAATTTAAACATAATATATTATTTAAGTTAAAATGACTTATACAGCCAATTTAATTATTTTTAAACATAGTTTTAGATGGAAAACTATTTTTGCTATGAAAACACGTCTTATTATCTCAGGCTTATTATCAAATAATAATTATTTACATGTTTTTGAACATGAACATTCTGTTGCTAAGCACAAACCGCAAACTGCACTAACTTAAATATTGAATTATTTTAACATTTGATTTAGGCTAATAAATAAAATGAGATGAACTATTTATAATAAGTTTTACTCTTAGTAACTATTCTGATAATTATTCTCTGAGAGCAAATCTTAATATCTCAAGCAGTTTTTCTTCCCATATATATAGATATAATTTTGAATAATAATAATAATTATTATTATTATTGAAAATCGAAAAATAAACCAAAGTTCCCCCGCCAGAATCCCAGACGCTGCGCTCACTCCCCCGAGGGCTCGAGTGTCAGGAAGGACATGATGACATGATTCTCAGGAAAGAGAGAGAGTTAGTGTGGGCGAGTCGAGACAGGTCTTTCTCAGCACTGATAACAGACTCGCTGATGCTAGCGATAACACGCCCGACGGCTCAGGCTATTTATAGAGCTTCCCTGAAACACTGATGGTTAATCATAAATCATGGCGTCTTTGTTCAGGGGATACAGGAGCTGCGAAACCACGTTTATCATGACCGAGGCCTCAGAAAACCTTTCTAGAACAATCCAGTTAAGAAAACGTTCATTCTGAATATTCTCGGAACGTTACATTAGAGTGTTCTCAGAATGTTACTTTAGTGTTCTCGGAACGTTACTTTTGAATGTTATCGGAACGTTACATTAGAGTGTTCTCAGAATGTTACTTTAGAATGTTATTGGAACGTTACTTTTGAATGTTATCGGAGCGTTACTTTTGAATGTTCTCAGAACGTTACTTTTGAATGTTATTGGAACGTTACATTAGAGTGTTCTCATTACTTTAGAATGTTATTGGAACGTTACTTTTAAATGTTCTCGGAGCGTTACTTTTGAATGTTATCAGAACGTTACTTTTGAATGTTATCGGAACGTTACTTTTGAATGTTATTGGAACGTTACTTTTGAATGTTATCGGACGTTACTTTTGAATGTTATTGGAACGTTACTTTTGAATGTTATCAGAACGTTACTTTTGAATGTTATTGGAACGTTACTTTTGAATGTTATCAGAACGTTACTTTTGAATGTTATCGGAACGTTACATTAGAGTGTTCTCATTACTTTAGAATGTTATTGGAACGTTACTTTTGAATGTTCTCGGAGCGTTACTTTTGAATGTTATCAGAACGTTACTTTTGAATGTTCTCGGAGCGTTACTTTTGAATGTTATCAGAACGTTACTTTTGAATGTTATCGGAGCGTTACTTTTGAATGTTATCGGAGCGTTACTTTTGAATGTTCTCAGAACGTTACTTTTGAATGTTATCGGAACGTTACATTAGAGTGTTCTCATTACTTTAGAATGTTATTGGAACGTTACTTTTGAATGTTATCAGAACGTTACTTTTGAATGTTCTCGGAACGTTACTTTTGAAGGTTATCGGAACGTTACATTAGAGTGTTCTCAGAATGTTACTTTAGAATGTTATTGGAACGTTACTTTTGAATGTTCTCGGAGCGTTACTTTTGAATGTTATCGGAGCGTTACTTTTGAATGTTCTCAGAACGTTACTTTTGAATGTTATTGGATCGTTACTTTTGAATGTTATCGGAACGTTACATTAGAGTGTTCTCATTACTTTAGAATGTTATTGGAACGTTACTTTTGAATGTTATCGGAACGTTACTTTTGAATGTTCTCGGAGCGTTACTTTTGAATGTTCTCTGATTGTTACTTTTGAATGTTATCGGAACGTTACTTTTGAATGTTCTCGGAGCGTTACTTTTGAATGTTCTCGGAACGTTACTTTTGAATGTTCTCAGAACGTTACTTTTGAATGTTATTGGATCGTTACTTTTGAATGTTATCGGAACGTTACATTAGAGTGTTCTCATTACTTTAGAATGTTATTGGAACGTTACTTTTGAATGTTATTGGAACGTTACTTTTGAATGTTATCGGAACGTTACTTTTGAATGTTCTCGGAGCGTTACTTTTGAATGTTCTCTGATTGTTACTTTTGAATGTTATCGGAACGTTACTTTTGAATGTTCTCGGAGCGTTACTTTTGAATGTTCTCGGAACGTTACTTTTGAATGTTCTCGGAACGTTACTTTTGAATGTTCTCGGAGCGTTACTTTTGAATGTTCTCGGAACGTTACTTTTGAATATTATCGGAGCGTTACTTTTGAATATTATCGGAACGTTACTTTAGAATGTTATCGGAGCGTTACTTTTGAATGTTCTTGGAGCGTTACTTTTGAATATTATCGGAGCGTTACTTTTGAATGTTATCGGAGCGTTACTTTTGAATATTATCGGAACGTTACTTTTGAATGTTATCGGAGTGTTACTTTTGTATGTTATCGGAACGTTACATTAGAATGTTATCGGAGCGTTACATTAGAGAGTTCTCAGAATGTAACTTTAGAAATTTCTCAGAACGTTCTGAAACTAGTAATATATAACAAAAGTTAGATGAACATCCAACTAAAACATTTGATAAAAACGCCCCATGAAGGACGTATAAATAATGTTTTTGTTCTAACGTTTTGAGAACATAATTAAAGACCAGATAACTTAAAGAAACTTGAGTATTTGGAGGAACGTATTAATAAAGTATTATTCTATTAAAGTAACGCCTGTTAATAACGTTCCCTGTTTGCGTCATCGTTCACTCTTAGAAATGATTGTTTTGAGCTTCACTTTTATTTGTTCTGTGTGTGTGTGTGTGTGTGTGTGTGTATGTTGTTTGGTCTCTAAAAACACCTCAGTCTGACGCTTGAGCGCAGGTGTGTGTGACATTCCTGTGCGTCTTCAGTTGTGTTTGTCCATCTGCTGGTCTTTAGTGACCCTGTAGACACACACACACACACACACACACCCTGTGGAATGTCAAACATGCGGGATGGCACGCAGATACTCGCATACAGACTCACAAAAGAGACAAAAGACCCGAGACACAAAGACCAAGCGCATCCCTTCATGTGCAAATGAGTGCTTCCTCTGACATCACACACCACTGACGTTATCCTGTGAGGTCATGTGACCCGCGAGACGCCTCGCTGGAGGAATACATACCTCAAAGTATGATTGATTACAAACAATAACTCTGCTCTCGTTTCATGATCGATGCGCAAAAACTAAAGTGAATTCGGTCATTCGGTCGAAATAATAGAATTTTGTGTGAATACAATTAAAATATTTAATATTATTAGCAGTAATATGTTAAATATCAACATTTTAATCACATTAAATATGTTAAAACTATTAATATAATATCATATAACCTAAATATTTCAATGCATTTGTACTCTATTTGGCTATATATCTGTGAAAATAAGTTAAAATGATTCGATATGATTTGATTAAGCATGATTAAATGAACTGGAATAGACTGATGGCTGAGAGGAACCCTGTGACGCTTGTGTTTGTGTGTTCAGGTGGCCATAAAGTCCATCCGTAAGGAGAAGATTAAAGACGATCAGGATCTGATCCACATTCGGCGGGAGATCGAGATCATGTCGTCGCTCAGCCATCCTCACATCATCTCCATATATGAAGGTACATGAAGGATGAGAGCGCTCTTGTTTCACATCGCTGGGATTCTTCAGTCACGCAAACCTGTTTGTTCTCATTATGTAATCAAGACAAACCCCAAAAACTGCTTTACTGTGCTTCAGCGCACCACAATTACACCCCGCTCATTAACATAACGCCAGCGAGAGCTCATTAGTGCCATGTGAAAGAAATCAGTCGAGTGATGACGGACACCGCCTCTGGCTTTGGCTTGACTCGGTTCATGTAATATTCAGCAGTACAACATCACGGTTTCTCCAGAGCGGCTGTATATATATATACACTCTTAGAAGGAATGGTTCTATTTAGAACCAGGAATGGAACTCCAAAATGGTTCTATATAGAACCATTTTTTTTTGGTAAAAGGTTCTATTGGCCAAGTACGGAACCCCAGGGTTCTATATAGAGTTCTATATTTTTTTAAAGTGTACAGAACCTTTTAGGGGTTCCAAATACGTAGCGCTGATAGAACCTTTTCTTCTAAGAGTGTGTGAACTATATTAATAACTCTCTTACAGCAGAAATGAGCTGGACTGAGACGCTATTCTCTTCGGGAAACACACGTCGTTGCATTATTTTTAAAGCTGCTGTGTGTGTGTGTTTCAGTGTTCGAGAACAAGGATAAGATCGTGATCGTGATGGAGCTGGGCAGTAAAGGAGATCTGTACGACTACATGAGCGAGAGACAGCGCATCTCTGAGGCCGAAGCCCGACTCTTCTTCAGACAGATCGTCTCTGCCGTGCAATACTGCCATCGCGTGAGTCACACACACACACACACACACACACACACACACACTCAATACTGCCATCGCGTGAGTCACACACACACACACACACACACACACACACACACACTCAATACTGCCATCGCGTGAGTCACACACACACACACACACACACGCTCCGCAAATACTCACAACGCAACTTTTTTATGGTTTTGTTTTAGTTAACTGTAATAACCCTGATTTCTATACAGTCATTTTCTATTGTAAAGTTGTAAAAAATATTTCGATTTATTAATGAATTATTTAGATGCGATAAAGACGTTTATTTCTAAGTTTCTCAGAGATCAGTGATGGCAATAATCTTCTTTAATTTCGGAGGTGTGTTACATGTGTTATTGCTGCTCAGGCGCTTTAAGTTTGACTGTCTGGCTTCACAAATATCTGTGAAAGCAAAGGTCAGCGGGACTAAATATTAGTTCCACGTCATGTGAACATTTCTCCCAGTCTGCAAAACTACCCAGAATGCTGTGCGCTGAGGAGGGGTGCAGAGAGACAGTGGATGTATTGCGTAACACACATCACTGTCCGCATGAATGAGCAGATCTAGAGAGACGTTCACGCTTGCACACGCTAATGCAGGAACACTAGCACAGCGCTAACACGACACACACGCTAACTCACATATCCGACACACACTCGCACAAGCAGGTCAGATTTCCACTTTCTATTCATCACAGAATCCTGAAATAAAAATGTAAATCAACACTGATAATAATCATAACTGTGTTGAGCATCAGATCCTCATATTAGAGGGATTTCTGAAGGGTCATGTGACTCTGAAGACTGGAGTAATGATGATAAATACACACGAATAAATCACACTTTACTGTATATTCCCTTTACTAATAATTCACAATATTACTATTTTTTTGTATTTTAGTCAAATAAACGCAGCCTTGATGAGCAGAAGAGATTATTCTAGTAAAAACATGAGCTTTTCAAAGGCAGTGTGTGTTTGAGTGTAAAACTGTTTAGCGTGTAAACATGATGATGATGATGATGTTTGCGAGACGTCCCCGAAACAGAACGTCCCGTTAGAGACCAGCTTTTGTTCTGATGTTAGACGAGGAGTTTCGCCCTCCTGCAGAGAAACACAATCACGCATTCCTGTCTACACACACACACACACACACACACACACACTCTTATTTACAGAGTTTTGGATCAGTAAGATTATTAATGTTTTTAAAAGAAGTCTCTTCTGCTCAACAACGCAATGTTTATTTGATATAAAATACACACAAAAGTAATATTGTGAAATATTATGAGTTTTCTTTCTATTGTAAAGTGTTATCATCATTACTCCAGTCTTCAGAGTCACATGACCCTTCAGAAATCACTCGAATATGAGGATTATTATCAGTGTCCAGTTATTTAAATGTTAAAGTTATTTACAAAAATAAATCGGTACTTTTATTCATCGAGGATGAATTAAACTGATCAAAAGTGACAGTAAAGACATTTATAGACCATTTCACAAGATGTAAACAACACTGGTCCAGAAGCACTTCCTGTTTCAGTTTTTTAACACTACATAAAAGCTGGGATAAAATACAACCAACAGAACAAAAGTTCAACAAACATCTTTAAGATGTTTTCTTGACATGTGAAATAAAGAAAACAGTTACAAACTGAAACAGGAAGTGTTTCTGGACCAGTGTCGTTTACATCTTGTGAAATGGTCTATAATGATTAATATTTCACAATATAATAAAATAACTTTGTGACTTCTTTAAAGACATCAGTAATCTTGCGATCTCAGACGTGTGTTTCTGCGCTGGAAGATCTGGGGATTTTCTTATGAAAGTGTTTATGGGTGAAACCGTTTCAGTTCCTCGGGAAACTCCCTTCCAACACCAGGAACATGTAGAGCGGTTAATAAAGCAACGACCCACGGTGACCTCGTCTGAACTGGGTTAATATAATAAAGGAGATCGCTTTAGTCCACAGAAGTCTAAATGTTGTGTTATCTGGACCACATTAATTATCCAAAAAAGTGACTTTTTAGTTCCTAAAATTCCATCGGCATTTTCACAAACGTATGTTTCTGTTGTAAACGCTGTTGTGTGTGTCTCTACAGAACGGGATTGTTCATCGTGACCTGAAGCTGGAGAACATCTTGCTGGACGACGACGGCAATATAAAAGTAAGTTCAGGAGCGAGGGTTAGGGTTAGCTCGTGTGTGTGTGTGTGTGTGTGCACAAAATCATTCTGTCGCTGCTCGCTTGTTGTTTTATTGAACAAGGCCATAAACACACAGTGTGAGATAGCGGCGTTAATCTACTTTCTGCTTTATGAGACGAGCTGTAAAACCGCACTGATGGAAACTAGCGCTAGTCACGACATAATACATAATAAACGAGGCTCAAACATCAAACACGTCAAAGAAACGACACTAATCAAGCGTTGAAATAAATATCAGCGGTGTTGGGGAAGCTACTCTGAAACTGTAGTTTGACAAGCTACTCACAAGTTAAAGTAGTTAAACTACAGTCAAGTTACCCTTTTGGAAAAGTAGCTAGCTACACTACAAGCTACTATCAAAAAGTAGCTAGCTACGTTGAAACTACTTTTGCTTTTTGAACAACATATTATATTACATATTATTATTATAACATGCTATAAATTATATATTATAAATAACTGAATGATGAATGTTTTAATTAAAATATTTAGTGTTTAAAACAATGCAATACAATTATGATTTCATAGAGTATTGTTTTATTACACACAACACTCAAATATTGCAACAAATAGCCGACAACATTGCAAGAACAAAATATACATCCAATGTAAATTGCATTTAGAACATTTTCTCAAAAATACCGATTGAACTTGGACAAATAAGGCCATGGGTAATTAACTTTAGTTGATTCTCCATCATCTAAATCTGCCGTCACCTCTGGCTCCATCATAATCATAATATGGGTGTGTCACTGTCAACCCACTTCTTTACGTCAGTGAACCGTTAGCCGCAAGACGCGTGATTAAACAGCAGGTGGCGGTAATAGCAAAAAATGAGTTTAATCTAACAAGATGAAGAATATCCTAGCATCGCGACGATTCGCGCAGGCTCGACAAACGCAATGTAGCTTTTGCTCGCGCTACACCGCTACTTGCTGCAAAAAGTAGTTAGCTACACTGTTTAAAAAGCAACTGAGCTACAGCCAAGCTACTGAAAAATGTAGTTAAGTTAGTAGCGTCGCTACTTGTAGTTAACTACTCCCCAACACTGAATATCAGTAACGCTAACTTAAATAATATAATAAAAAACGAGACCGTGTCTTTGCTAATATCGTCATGTGTCCTGTTTGAGTTAGCGACTAAAGTCACCCGCGCGGGTGAAACGCTTTACAAATAAACTCCGCGAGTCTAGTAACGAGCACACACTGCTGGACGAGCAGGGAAAACCGTTTAAAGTAAAGACTGCGGGTATAACAGGCGAACGTTTATAATCCCCTTCGAAACGGAGACGCGAGTGAAGAGGGAACGGAACGAGAGTTAAATTCGCTGATAACACGAGAGATTTCTCGTGAGTTGGCGAGACGGCACTGACGCTGACCGACTGTCTGTTCCCCAGATCGCGGACTTCGGGCTGTCGAACCTGTACCGGGGCGACCGGTTCCTGCAGACGTACTGCGGCAGCGCCCTCTACGCCTCGCCCGAGATCGTGAACGGCCGGCCCTACAGGGGCCCGGAGGTGGACAGCTGGTCCCTGGGCGTGCTGCTCTACACGCTCGTCCACGGAGCCATGCCGTTCGACGGACACGACCACAAGCAGCTGGTGCAGCAGATCAGCAGCGGGAACTACCGCAGACCCGCCAGACCGTCCGGTGAGTCACGACACGAACATTTCACTTTCTGTGTTTTTATTGGAATGGTGTGGAATTTGGTGAAGGTTTTGGCACACACACACACATGGTGCTGATAACAACAGTCACACTGGTGCTCCTCGCCCACTGGAAACGAGAGTTTCCTCTAGTGGAAGCGTGTGGAACTGCAGCCGAACACACACTTGTTTACTGAGAGATCAGCTCACACACGCGACACACACGTGTAGAGTTATGGCTGAGATTTTCTCACAGTTTTAGAGTAAAACACGTTTTTGAAAATTTCACATATAAATTGAAAAACTTCGGTCTGTCGCGCTAAAGCGTTCCAGATTTACCAGTTTAAGTTGGAAATGTAGCTTCCGGGTCTATGCTCAAAATGTGAATAAATAGATTATAAATACTGCGTAAATGTCATTTAGAAGCATAAAATCGCCTAATCATACAAAATATTAAATAAAAAAAACCTTATCGAACGAATATATAGTACATTAATTTAACCTCTTAACTGTCACCCCCCCTTTTTTGAATAGACATGAAAATGCACATTTCGAACTTAAATGGTTGTAATTCAAGAATGCTTTGGAATATAGACATATGATTGGTCTTGTTTTAAAGAAGACATTTGTCACATTTTTGTAGAAGTGAAATAAATTAAGAAAGTGAAACAGAAAAAAAGTTATAGAAGTTTGAGTTTATGGAAATGTACAATGTAAAAATATTAATTATTCATATTTTACATAAAATATATATTTTCAAAACCTGGGCTACTCTAAAACGGCAGAAAGATCAAAGCCAAAAATCTGGACAAGTTGTGTTTCAAATTTTAGGTTGATATCTCAAAAAATGAGATTTAGTTTGAGCGCAGTACCAAACTTTTCCACTAGGGCACAACCAGACTCCATTACTGCCCATATAAGGGCGTCTGCATTTCCATTCGTGTTTTAAGTGATATGAACCATTATTTTCACAATTTTCATACAATTTCTGAAGTAGAGATCCTATTCAGAAGTAGTATGGGAAGTTTGGCAGATTTTGATATGAATTGAACCTCTAAGAAACATACAAAGAACACGCACATAAGTCATAGCTAGCTGACACGTCACAAATGGTGAATTTATTATTTTTTTCTTGATATTTCAAACTTTTCAGACCTTTTTTTTTTCCAAAATAATTGAATGGATGCTATCTTTTGAACTTTTGGCATGAAAACAAACTGAGGTATCTACCATTTTTTCATGATTTTTCATGTTTACTGCTATTTTAAAATAAAGGTCTGAACACGCCTTATGAGTATGAAAATATTCTTGTTGCATATTGATAAATTATGGCTTCTCTGTAATATATTTTGAAAATCAGTCACCAAATATGGAAACTAGAGATTGTAAGCTTTCAAATGATATATAGTTTGTCAATATTATTTAAGGTATTTACTAAGATATTATTGTTTTAAAAATATAGTGGCAAACGTCCCACCTGTGGGACGGTGACAGTTAATTAATTGAAATAAAGGAATAAGGGTTAAACGTAGACACGGAACTGGTTTACTGTGTTTGTCGAAGGTCCAAGCTTAGTAAACCCTGTGGATGTTGTATAGCGAGAGCTAGCAGATAACGGCCTTGACCTTGGCAGCCTCGTAAAATCGAGTTGATCTGAGAGTCAAGTACACAATGACAGCAGCTTTATTGCCGGAGGTCGTATAGTCACCATGCTTTCACTTATTGAAAATAAGTTTCTTTCTGCTTTAATCTCTGCATATGGCGAGCCCAGAGTAACACGAGCTGGTCTTGCCGGACCGGTTCCTGGAGCCACACCCCAACAGTACACAGGCTATTTTTAGAGTCTCTGCTAACAAGCGTTGAGTTGAATACGGAAGAGTTGCCAATGTGTACGTTTGGCGTGTCCTCAGGAACAATGGATTTCAGTATCCCATTAGCATTGAGCATTCGATATTGTTGATCATTTGCATAGACCTTTGAAACCGCGGCACATTGCTGGACACGCCCACATCGCCAACTCTCACTGAATAGGGGTGTCCAATGACTCCAATCCTGCTTCTGGAGCGCCACCTTTCTGCAGAGTTTGGCTCATACACACCTTTAGTAGGCATTAGTAGATATTAGTATAAAATTGGCAAATATAATTTTTTTTACTTGGTTTATTAATGTTTCGTGCAGTTTTTGGAGGATTTATTATATATTTAGATTTACCAGTAGATGGCTGCAGAGATCCCTTATTTCCCATTTGACTAAATGAAAGACAGCAAGTACAAAACAAAAACATGCTAAACTTTGACAAAGTTATTTTTATTGTTATAATTGTGATTTCATAATATGTAGATATGAATACAACTGGAAGCACTTGTGGAAATATATCTTTCAGTTAGTCCAATAGTGGAGCCCTGCAGCCATCTACTGGTTAAACCATGTCATATTATCCCCATGGATGAAAGAAGTTAGAAATGTGGGTCTTTTATAAAGTGAATTTTACATAAAAAGCTGGGTTTTTATTTTAAAAATATTTATATAAATTAAAAATATATAATAAATCATCCCAAAAATACAGAAATATGGAGTATAAACATTAAAAAACGGAGTAAAATTACATTTATTTAACGAACAGCGCATATGGGTTAATTAGGATTGGACATCCCTGTTGCTAAATGCAATGCTAATGCTCTTTGTCGCCCCGCAGACGCGTGTGGTTTGATCCGCTGGATGTTGATGGTGAACCCAGACCGTAGAGCTACGCTGGATGAGATCGCGGGTCACTGGTGGCTCAACTGGGGCTATCAGCTCCCCCTGCAGGCTCAGAACGACACCGCAGCGGTGTGTCCGACACATGTAGCGTCTCAAACCAGCGGCCCGACTCGCATCGCCGACTGGCTACGCCGCACCTCGCGCCCTCTCCTGGAAAACGGTTCTAAGATGCGTTGCCTATTGCGTACGGGCGGAGGAGAACCAGTACAGCGACAGCGCTCAATACGCAGGTCGCGCAAAGAAAACAACGTTTCGCAAACAATGCAGGAATCACCTCGCCCGTTTAAAGGCATCCTGAAGAAGCGTGGAAGTCTAAAACAGAAACTGGCCCCCGGGGACTCCCAGGCTACGCCCTTGGAGGAGAAAACCAACAACTCTTTGGCTCCGCCTCCTCCGCCTAAAGGCATCCTGAAGAAGCCTTCCGAAGGCGAGTCGGGATACTACTCCTCATCCCCGGAGGGAAGTTACGACTCCGGGCAGACTCTCGGGAACGCGTCGCCTGCACAGAACCGCAAGGGAATCCTCAAACGCCACGGCAAGTTTTCCGGAGGACTCCAGGGATTCGGATCTCTGGATAAGCTCTCGCCGTCCGTGCCCTCGGTGGTCAACAAGTCCCGACCGAGAGGAGCAATCAGCGAGGACAGCATTCTCTCCTCCGAGTCTTTCGACAGACTGGACCTTCCCGATCGGGAGATTCCCAACGCTCCGATGGAGAGGCGAAGAATGCGAGGATGCGTATCCGCTGATAATCTCCTCGACTTAAGAGAGGACGGGCCAGGGACTCTGCTCAAGGGACACTGGGAAATGGACGTAGCTTGCTATCGTGCGGGAGTGTCCGATAGCGTGTTTTCAATCTCCGACTGCGAGAACGTCACTCGGACTTACAAGCAAGCCTTGGGAGCGACTGCCAGCTAAGACGGACAACGACGAATCAGCAACTCGGCTGTGCCTAGAAAGGGAAACAAAACAAGGAAAGCGTTCCTTGAACGGCTTCAGGCCAGACAGGAAGTGGGTCTTCAAGAGGACAGGAAGTCCTGCGTGAGGGGAAACATTTCATTCCGAGGGAACGGGAGATTTTTGGTGCGTTTGCAACCAAAACCGCTTTTATAATGTAGACTTGATTTGAGAAAAGTGCCTTTTGTTTTGTCAAATGATCAACAACTAACTTGTTATCCTTTGAGATGTTTGACGGTCACATGACTGTTTAGGGTGTCGGCTAGACAAAAAGTGCCAAAGATCCATCGTGAATTTGTTTTAAAGGTGAATATTGGTGGTAGATGACAATAATGTACAAGAACACGTGCAGGAAAACTCAAAACGGCTCAATTTGAAAAGATTGCCTTAAGCTTTCCTTAAGATCGTTCCCGCCGAATTTCTGACCTTTTAGGGTCAAAAAGTACCAAAGACGCACTGTGAACTTAGATCATGTTTGTTTTAAAGGTGAATATTGCTGGTAGATGACAAAAATGTACAAGTACACGAGCAAAAACTCAATTGGCAAAGATCGACTAAAGTGTTTAAGATCGTTCCCGCCAATTTTTGAGTTTTACAACATGCCATTATTGACACGTGTGCGACGGATACAGTAAACTACTGTCTTTTTATGACTTTATGTAGTCTAGACATGTTTAAATTGTGCAGATAGGAGTTTATTAGGATGGTGAAGTGCGCCGTGACCTCCCCACACAATAGGATTACACTAAAAGTGGATTTTTTGTCTCCGAATCCTTTTGAGAAATGTGTTGAAATGGTTTTGGGCATCTAAACGTTTACTTCCAGTGGTAAAGGCAAGTTACGAGTGGGAAAGAGTGATATTTCAGTGTCATAACAGGGTGTTTATCAGTAAATCTGCTTGTCTTGAGTGTCTAAACTCTTCATACAGTATTGGTAAGAGTCCATTAGAGATCTTGTCAGGGGTTTTAATGGTTATTAAGGGTTTTCTTCTGTTTGGTGCCATATTTGTTTGAGTTTCTGTATGTTTATTTGCCAAAGTGCCTGCTCTATAAGCCCTGACGTCTGCTTGAATCAGTGGACCAATAAAACAGCACAAATTAAGTTGAAAATGCGTTCTTGTAAATTACTTTATTGTAGACTGTATTCCAGTTCACATTTTAAAGTCCCCCTGTGGTGTAAATCCAGCTTTTAATGTTGTTAATGTGGTGTTTTTAATCCGCTTTAACACACACCGTGTGTGCGTTGATAAGTGGACAGCATTGCTGAGTATTTCCTCCTTCAAACTGCAGTGAACCAAAGACACACTTTGAAATCGCTGGTGTTTCTGACATCGCAAACCACCTTGTAACCAATCAGATCAATCTCTGAGTGAGTGAGGGAGTGAGTGGAGGCGGGGCTCATCTGCATATTCATAGAACCGCGCATACTAAACGAGGCGAGGGTGTCGAGTTACATTCACAATATTTTAAGGCATGACATTTAAATATGTAATTTTGGTGATCAAAGTTGAGTTTTAAGGGATAAAATGATCGACTAACGCTAGTGTGTGTGAGATGTTGCCGTTTTTAAAAAGTGAAATAATAAAGAAAGTGACAGTTTGACCCAACACTAATGTTATTTCAGTTAACTACAACTAGAGCATTTTTGTTAATTGAAATGAAATAAAATATAAAATACAACACATATATTAGCTAGTTGCCAGTTTAGATAGTAACATTTCATATTTTGGTTTAGTTTAATGTAAAACCCAAAGATTTTCATTTTACAATTAAGATTTCATTATTATTTACCCCCCCTGCTAATTAGTATGCAAAATATTGATTGTTATTATGATTATTTTAAAGTAGATATTTATCATGCTAGCATTTGCTTTTCTGAATTTAATTCATGGTGATTTTTATTAAAAACTGTGAAATTGCACAAAAATATGCTTAATTGTCATAATGTAAAATACGCTTAATTTTCTCAATGCAAAAAAAAACCCTCCTTCTGATATCCGGGTGAAATGTGACGCGTGTGTGTGAGATAGACCGGGTTAGTGTTAGAAGCAAACCAGCATTCACCAGCCTCATATTTTATTTTCACAAATTTCAAGTTTAAAATGGAGAAAAGTTACATGTCAAGTGTAGAATTAATCATTGACTAAAATCAGCAGCGTGTGTGTTTGACAAAAGAGCATCCGCTAGATAAAATACGAACGTGGCCGTGGTCAAGCAGTGCAGTGGAACTGGGAACCCTGGGATGGCTAGAGCTGGTCCGCGGGTGGGACGTCCCGGTCCGCAGGTGTAGACGGCAGCGTCCGCCCAATGGTTTCCTCCAGAGACGAGAAGCACTGACGCAGAGAAGCCTGAACCACACACGCACTACTTCAACTTTTATCATCATTATACCTTATACATTACTTTTTCCTCATGATTTCAATTTTTACGTTATAATTTTCACTTTTAATCTCATAATTTTTATGCCATATTTGGATTTTTGTCTATTTAGAATTTGATCAAAAAATGAGGACAAACCTCATTAGGACAAAAATTTATAATGAAGACTTGTATCATCATTTTGACTTTTTCCTCATAATTACAACTTCTTATTAATGTCATACTCTTGAATTTTTAAGTCATATTTTGACTTTATGTAATAATTAGTACTGTCATAATTATTTAAAAAATCTGAATACATCAAAGTCATGATTGTTACATAAAAATTTATAATTATTAAAAAAAGTTTAAATTATGACATTTATATCATAACTTTGACTTTTTATGTCATACCTATAAGGTTTATAAGGTGATTTCAAAATTGACAAAAGGTTGTAATTATAAGAAAAAGTCCAAATTATGACAAAAAGTTAATTAGACAAAAAGTAGACATAAAATGTCTAAATTATGTCATTACTTTTGTCATATTTAACTGTTTTTCATAATTTCGATTTTTTTATGTAAAAAAAACTGTCCTATTGTGGTTTAGGGAAGCATGATCATGTTCTCCTGTGTGAATGAAGATGTGTGTGTGTGTGTGTGTGTCCTCACCATGTCGAGGTCCAGGACGTTCCTGAGGAGTTGCAGGAGGTCGTCGGCGCTGAGCGAGTCTTTCAGGAGATTCAGTCGAAAAACAGCCGCCGTCAGACACGAACAGGCCACCAGTGACGGAGCGAAGACCGAGAACTTCAGCTCTGAAACACACAACACAAGCCCCGCCCCTTAAAATCAACATCCACCAATCCTGACTCAGCTCTGACACACACAACACAAGCCCCGCCCCTTAAAATCAACATCCACCAATCCTGACTCAGCTCCGACACACACAACACAAGCCCCGCCCCTTAAAAATCAACATCCACCAATCCTGACTCAGCTCTGACACACACAACACAAGCCCCGCCCCTTAAAATCAACATCCACCAATCCTGCTCAGCTCTGACACACACAACACAAGCCCCGCCCCTTAAAATCAACATCCACCAATCCTGCTTCAGCTCCGACACACACAACACAAGCCCCGCCCCTTAAAATCAACATCCACCAATCCTGCTTCAGCTCTGACACACACAACACAAGCCCCGCCCCTTAAAATCAACATACACCAATCCTGCTTCAGCTCCGACACACACAACACAAGCCCCGCCCCTTAAAATCAACATCCACCAATCCTGACTCAGCTCTGAAATTAATATCCACATTAATAACTAATAATAATAATATTATTTCCATTCCGAATCTTTTTCCGGATACGTTATGAGAAGTTCCTGCTGAACATTAAAGAAATTTATCAGTCATTCCCAAATAAACTTAACGATTTAAAATGAGTAAATAACACATTTATAAAAATAATAAGTTATAATTTATAATAAACATAAAATATTTTTTTAACTCAACATCAATTCACTAAATTGATATCAAGTAACAGTTGTGATTCATTCAGTTTTATCAAGTGTTTAATCACTATTGTGTGAAAAATGAACATATGAACGACTGCAGTTTATCAGTGAGCCTCCGCATGTGTGCTGTGACGGAAGCGCTGACCTCTGACCTCACGTCAGTGATGACCCTCGAGTGCAGCGTGGATAATACACGTGTGACGCAGCGCTTATACTAGCAACAAAGAGCAGATCAACGACAGAGAATCTGCTGACGCGCGTGTGTGTGTGTGTGTGTGTGTGTGTGTGTGTACCTGTGGCGCTCAGGGCGATGTAGGAGTGTGTGTGTCTCCTCAGGGCCGGGTGGTTCTGCACTTCGAGCGGCAGCACCTGCAGTAACGGCTCCAGGAAGTCAGAGGGCAGCACTGAGGCCAGATCCCAGCGGAGCCGCGACACCAGCAGCACCTCCCACTGCTGCACACACACACACACACATTACACATCTCACACACACTCGCATCTTCTGCTCTAACGCTACACACACTCAGATCTCCTTTACTCATACGCTTATCTTTTCTTCTATTATTATTATTATTGTCATTCTTGTTGGGTTTTTTCTTTCTTTTCTTGTCCTCTCCTCTGGCGGCTGTTCCACTTCTTGTTTTACATGTTGGTGCTATTTGTTTTCTATTGTAGAATTGTAATAAAAAAGTGTTTCTTTACAGAGTGTGATCGCCACCTACTGGCCTGGAGGAAGACGGCGCTTTGAGGGTTTTCGTTCGCGTCTGTACGCGGAAAAACACGATGGAAAACCGTTTCCTCTTCTATACAGCGCTGTAATGTAAACGTGCTCTTAAATAAAAAACAGCCGTGTAATTTAGCTCATTAGCATATCTATTACAAATAAAAATATAAACATAATTACTTGACATAAAATAAAATATAAAAAAACGTAACACTTAATTTATTTCAGTTAATTGCTATGACATTTCTTGTTTTTGTACTAAAATAACTAGAACTAAATAAAAACGACAAAACAAGAAACAAAATTACTAAAACTTGAACTAAAATTAAAATATTAGTGAATATGTCAAATGTGCGTCACATGTTTGTTTTATATTATTTTACAACGCTTCAAATCAGGGATAATTAAACATTATTTATTTACTGTTATAGTATTTTTTTTAATTAGCTTTTATTTTACATTTTTATTATTACATGCAATAGTTTAGTTTATTTTATGTGCTTTTGTCATTTTTAGTAATGGCTCGTTTTTTTATGTTTCTATTCAAATTTCTTTTTCATTTTTAGTGAAATGTGTTGTATTTAAGTTCAGTTTGCTCTCCTTTTCGTCAGAGAACTAAAATAACTCAATAAAGATAACCACTAAAGCTTTCAAGTATTCCAGGTTAATTTGAGTAATTGTAGTACTACAACTAAAACTCATTTTATTTCAGCTAGTTGCCAAGGTAACATTTCTAATTTATGTTAATTGTTTGTATTATTTTAAATTTGTCTGATATTTTTTATTTTCTTCATTATGCCGGAGGCTATTCTGAGTCCTATCCTGCCAGAAGTGCAGCCACGCTAATATTACCCACAATACCTTGCGCAACAGAAGTCAAAGAGTTTAATCTTGAGTTCTGCAATTGTTTAAGATAAACACGGGGAAGTTGAGCAGTGTTCACGGGCCTAAAAGTGACGTATTTGCTTTTAAAGTGGCATTGAACATATTGTTATATATCATTAATGTAATCTCTGTATGGTTTGCAAGCAGCCCTGTGTGTCACATGACCTTACCAGGATCTCGGGGACGGTGACGGCGTGGTCCGTGTACACGCACAGCTTGTCGGCGCTCAGAGGAACCGATTCCCGGAGTTTGGAGGCCAGGAACATGCAGACGGTTCCCAGAAGCTGCAGGTGGCATTTACGCAGGGCATTCTGGGACATGTACCTGTCCAGGTAGTGAACGGCCAGGGGAAACACCTCCTCCTCACACTTCTGATCCTCACACACCTGCTCAAGAACAACACACTCATGAGTCCTCTGATGATTCATGATTCAAATCAGAAAAATTCAAATCAGTGAATCAGAATACGATTCATACGCCATCATCTGACCAGTGAATCACAATATTAGACATCATCTGAACAGTGATTCAAATCAGTGAATCAGAATTGATTCATACGACATCATCTGAACGGTGATTCAAATCATTGATTCAGAATAGACATGATCTGACCAGTGATTCAAATAAGTGAATCAGAAGACGGTGTATTAGACAGTATCTGACCAATATGACTCGAATCGATGAATCAGAATATAATTCACAAGACATCATCTGACCAGTGATTCGAATCAGTGAATCAGTACACGATTATCTGACCAGTGATTCGAATCAGAATATGATAATCAGACATCATAAGATGATTATGATTCGAGTGAAGTGTTCGGTTCTGAAGTGTCCTCACCTGAAGCATCCACCCGGTCAGGATTCTCCGCATGTAGGGCTGCACGTCGGTCGGTTCGGTGCCGGGTTTAACGATGTTCGGTCTCTCCGAGCTCAACAGGTTCTGACAGACCCGCTTATCTTGGATCAGAACCGCGTCTCTGAACGCCCGAACCGGTCTGGACTTTATCTGAGAACTCGAGTCCAGTTTGAAGTGTTCGTGACAGAATAACTCCATCACAGATCGCCGGTTAAAGAATCAGTCAGGCGGGATTTACGTCAAAAGAACTCTAAAGGGGCCTACAAACTATAGGGGCGGAGCGAGGGGGTGGCTAATTGGGCTTTAAGCCTCGAAAGTTTTGTTAAAAGTCCCGAATATTTTAGGTTTTTAAAAAATAAATTTAACTTGTTTTAATTTTCTCTCAGTCTTTCTGACTGGAGCGGCAAAAAATGTAAACAAAATCTCTATTATTACCGTGGATGCGGACAGTAACGCATCGCGCATTACTCAGCTTGACGGCCAACTGCCAATAAAAACTACAGAAGAAATTCATCGTCGTTGTCATCATGGCTGCTGGCGGCTTTTTGTATGTTTTACTGGCGTCGTAGCGAGCTTACATAAATTATTATGGACATAAAGTTTTTTATACAGAAAACTAAACCTCACCGACGAACCGCGGACACGCGGCATTGAAATCACTGTGTGTGTGTGTGTGTGTGTGTGTGTGCGCGCGCGCGTTAATGAATTCCAACCTGTAGTAAATGGGATGCGCGTGCACGTTCATTCTCAATTACCATAAATCAAGTCCATCCTATCTGACTGACATATATATATATATATATATATAATGCGAATTTGATTTGATTAACTTTATTGTCTGTTCAAATGTACTGGACAGAAATTCATCTTTGACACCGACACAACAACCACGTTACAAACCACATAAAAAATAAACAATTAATACATGTTATGTGGATAGCAGATGAACCCAATCGCAAACAGTAGCTATGCAAACACACAACATTTATTGATAACAGAAACCTGGGAAAACCAAACCCACGAGGGGGCAAACACTGCAGGGAAAATAAAGACTAATAACACTAGACTACGACTTTGACATTAAGCTATACAGGAACAAGACAGGATTTTACAAGATCACAACTTCGTTAAGACAAGCTACTCTCAAGGACAGCAAACACAAGGGGATCAAATAGTGAGAAACAGACATTGACAGCAGGTGACATATGAAGCAATGATGACAAAAGGAGGGTAACGAGGGGGTGGGGCAAGAAAACGAGACACCGGAAGCACACAGCCCAAACACAAGCCCATGTGCCTGCACACAAAACAAGGATCTGTCATGATCTCATCTCATGATCCTGCTGCCTCAAGAGTATGACAAGAGGGCAGAATCATGACACATATACATAAGTTAAATTAATACAGTATGTGCAAATTCACACACCTATAAAAATCACCTCAGAATTGAGTTTAAAAGGAGGGGAGAGTCTTCACTCCGATGAGGCGAGTGAAGAAGTAAGTTACTGCTGAGAGGGGCTGGAGGTCCAGTAGCACCGTAAACCAGCTCAATCTCTTCCATCTCAGATAGGGGTATTACTTTATTTTATTTTATTTTTACTCTTAACTGTTTTTATTTATATTGATTGGATTTACTGAAAGAGCACTGTGCCACTGTTTGTCCGACTGTTACTGTACATTTTATTTTCGACACTGTATTTTATTTTTATTATTATGATTTTTTTTATTCTAAACTGTTTTAATTATTCTGACTTCTTTAATTTCTTCCATGTAAAGCACTTTGAATTGTATGAAATGTGCTATATAAATAAACTTGCCTTGCCTTGCCTTAAATATTCCTCTTGGTGAGCGGTATCCCGAAGGAAGATCTCGAAGCAGGAATGGAGGGGATGAGTCTGGGCTGAATATATTGATAATGCCCTTTTCTCCAAACAAAATTGTGAATATCTCTTGTAATGTGCTCTGTGTTTGGCCGATGATCTTATTTGCTTCATTGATTACTCGTGTTAGTTTATTACCATACCATGAAACAATATTAAGTTAAAACACTTTCAATCATTGATCTATAAACAATGGTTAAGATCCTCCTTTCAATGTCAAAATTTCTTAATTCCTAAGTAGACTTAAACGCTGTCTATTTTTCTTATGTATAAAATCCACATTGTCTTGGAAGGAAAGTTGATCAATATTTAAAATTTGAGACTTGCTCTCTCTTTACGCCTTTGTTTGTGTTGTGTATTTACTTTTCTTTTCATTTATTCTTTGTTTTGTTTTTAATGTACAACCAAATTTGTCAAGTATGACTCGTTTACCTCGCTTTTGTAAACTAGTCTCCTCAGACATCAGCTCTGCGCGCGCATCCCGCCCGGCGCACGCGCACTGGCCTCACCTGAGCGCCGCGCTTTTATCGGATTAATGTCGGTTAATCCGCGCGCTTCTGGAAGATCCTGACAGGGTTTCAATGTTTTGAAAACAGACTCTTCGGGTGAGTAACACATTTTCTAAAGATTTAAATATTTACATAAAGAATTATATATGCTTTGTATATAATGTTCAAGCTACGGTGTGCAGTATTATATTACATTTAATACTAAAATTAAAAGAGTGTGATTATTATTGTTAAAACTAAAGAGTACCTGAAGCACTTTCCCTCTTATTATTATTTAGGTGATCAAGTGTTAAATACTTGGGTCACAATATTAGAAATGATCTAAATGATGATGGTGAAGTTATATGGACAGGCAAATACTGGCTCGAAAATGTTATATGTGCACAGGTGGTGTGGAAAAAGCTCTTTTTAGAGATTACTGTACTTCATCTTACACGGCATATCTATGGTGTAGATAAAGTAAAGCTAAAATGAGAAAGCTTCAGGCGGCATTTAATGATGTATTAAGAACTCCCAAGTGCAAGACAAATGTGTGTTTCTTGTGATGTTGTGATGCTGTGTTAAGGAATTATATGTATAATTTCATGTGTTGATTGGGTGATTAGAGAAACACATAATCATAATGTTCTTAATGATCCTATTTTAAGTGATAAAAGGTATTCCTCCTGCTGGACGTACTGGAACTCAAGTCTGTTTAATGTCGGTGTGTGTAAATCTATGTCTGAATGTTATTCTGTTTCTTTTACTTTGTGATATGGACCTAAGGGTCTGGAATAAAGAATTAATAATAATAATAATACATATTTATTAAGTGTTTATTTATTTAAGAAATGTGAGTTTAGTTAAACTATGTTTATTTTCTTTTCTGAGCTCTAAATTTGTTATAATTTCAGTACAATCTGTTGGTTATTTCCATGTTTGAATAAATTTGCCAAGTCTGTTTATTTCTTTGCACCGCACTTACAATAAAGTAGGCCTACAATTTTAAAGTATTTTGAATGTAGCCAACCATGATTTCTAAACAGCCTATACCATAGTAATTTATGAAATACTTTAATTTAACTTTAGTTCTATCGTATTAAAATTACAGTTGTCTTACTGTATTCTGCCTGATAAAGTTTCTTAAGATGCAGTGTATTTAAATAGGTCACATTTACTCTGCATAAATAAATAAACACGCTTGCTGTGGGTTACCGGGTGTCTGCGAGGTTAAGCTGAGACTGTCAGACGGGCGTAAGGAGTTTATAATATTACGTTCACCATATGGACTGTCTTACAGGCCTGCAGGAGTCCAGAAGATCACGATGGAGGAGCACACGACAGGTACACAACCCTGAAAATGACATTTCTACAACCTCAAAAAGTGATTTAACGCTTTAAGGCCCGTTCACAGCAAGGACGATAAAGATATAGTTTTAAAAAATTGAGTTCACTTCACACCACAGCGATGACGATATCGATATCGACGATATCGCACTTTCTAAACAATTTTTTTCCAGCTGTTGAACGATAAAACCAACAGCCAATCAGAATAAATTTAAAATGGCCGACGACATCGTGGAGAAGTTAATCGCCGAGGATCAAGCCCCTTTTCAAGAAAATAGACACGGACAACAATCGTTCAATAAACGAGGAGAAGTACCTCAGGTTTCCCGCGCTCGTTTCCACGCGTGTCTTGCTAACTCTGAAGTTGCGCTGTAAAAGACTAGTGTTGTGTTCATTCTACTATAGTGACTCCCTCACTGCTAGATTATTAGCTCGATTACGCTAGCTGCACTCGAAGCACAGCACGCTGAGGACACCTGCTGGTTAAAGCCTGTAAGTGCAGCAGGAACATGTTCAATGACGCTGTACACACTTTGAAACCGCAGCGCTAGCTTCGATCGCCGGTGTAGCGCAAATATAGTTATCGTTCTTGGTGTGAACGGGCCTTTAATTTGCAGCCAGCAGGACGACTGTAGGAGCAGAGGGCGGGGCTGATGGCACAAAGGGGGCGTGGCCTACACAGCCACACCCTTCATCACATGACCGGGTCACGCTAGTAGTCGACGGGACTCATTTTGTGGTGGATCCCGCCGTTTTCACGACTTACCCGGATACAGTGCTGGGAAGGTACTGAGCACGACAACGTAAATGAATCATTCTTATCGTTACGAGCGACCTAACGAGGTTTGTTTCCGCAGGATGTTCGGTCGAGCGCGTCAGCACAGTTTCACGCGACCGAACGCTAAAGGCGAATATGAAATCGCAGAGGGCATCGGCGCCAGCATCTTCAGAGTCATATTGGTACACATTTACATGGAATTGTCTTTTAAAGGTGCAGTGTGTGATTTTAACGTAGCGCCATCTTTGGCTCAGGACTTCTACCGCGTCGGGATGATGCACTGTCCCGAAGGCGTGTCTTTAGCGGAGCTGCGCGAAGCCTGCGATTATCTGTGTATAAACTTCGACTACAGCACTGTCAGATGCCGAGACCTCAGTGAGTCAAAAACATTCGGTCTGTGTGTGTGTGTGTGCATGAGACCTCAGTGAGTCAAAAACGTTGGCGAATAAAACGTCAGACTAACGGTTTCCGCCCAATCAGGCGCTCTGCTGCACGAGCTGTCCAATGACGGCGCTCGCCGGCAGTTCGAGGTGTTCCTGGAGGACCTGCTGGTGCCGGTGATGGTGTGCAGCGCGCAGGAGGGCGAGCGAGAGTCCCACATCGTGGTTCTGACGGATGACGACACCGTGGACTGGGATCTCGATCACCCGCCGCCGATGGGAGAGGAGAACACACAGAGTGAGCGAAGCAAACACCTGAAGGAGATCTAGCTATAGTGTCAGATCACTTTAAATATTGTCAGTGTGTGTTTGAGAGAGAGAGAGATTTTTGGTGTGAACGAACATTTTACCGTTTGCTGTCCTGTTCCTCCAGTAATCTACAGCGCCAAACTCTACCGCTTCTTCAAGTTCATCGAGAACAGAGATGTGGCGAAGACTGTGCTGAAGGAGCGAGGCCTGAAGAACATACGCATCGGGATCGAGGGTAAACTCACACACACACACACTCTCTCTCTCTCTCTCTCACACACACAGATAGAATACAAAAATCCTAAATCATAACTCAAGACTTCAGACAGAGTTTCTGTAATACGCCCCAGGGAGCTGCGTTTCCATTACAGATTTGCGCAAATCTTTTGTGATATTTTCTAAATGTAGATAAAAAAAACCTCTCGTAAAATAACGCTGTTTCCATTAATGGCTCTTTCAGACTGCACGATTTTCAAAGTAGTCAGGTCGCTGCTCTTTTCACACTGCATGACTATCTTGGCCAGCATTCAGTCGCTGCTGTGTTCACACTGGACGATGGATCGGCGACAGAAGGTTTCACACTGCATGACTTTAGAAAAATCGGCGACAGACTCTGTCTAGCACGCTGCACGCAAACTACATTTCACAACAAACACGCGTGAGATATGAAAAGGAAACAACGCGCGACACCACGCGTGCAAGACCGGAGTTCTCACGTGAGACTTTTTTTTTTCGACCCGGTTGTGGTACAGCTGGTGAAACAGACACGAGTGCTCCTGCCAAATTTCTACTAATTTTTCTTCCATTTATTGTGTCCAAATAGACCGAGAAGAAGCTTTTTTGTTGAAACAATGCCATATCATGTTGATATGTGATCTATAACTCCTCCCCGAACTCCCTGCTGCTCTGTATCTTGCTCTCTCACTGGCTGCCGGTGATCGCCGATGTAGTTTTCAGTCAAAACACTTTTCACACAGCAGGATTTTGAATCGCCGACAGGTCCAGATATTTAGCATGCCAAATATCTCACGGGCGTCGGCGACTCGTCGGTGATTCTCTCAGTTCGCGTCTTTGTTCATTCACACTGCGTGATTGTCACTCGCGTGAACGAGCGCCGATTTGCCTGTGATTTCGGGCATTTGTCGGCGATTTCTCAAAACCTGTCGGCGAGCCAAAATCGTGGCTAAAATCATGCAGTCTGAACTCGGCATAACTGGTGTTATGCGACTGAAACATCATTTTTCCTCTCACGAACGATCAGTCATTCCAAAAATCACGGCAACAGACGTTGGTAGGTTTACGTATCCCAGTCACCGCACTGGACATTATATTAATGGAAGGAGACGTGTGTGTGTGTGTGTGTTATTCAAGCTCCCTCATTTCTGCTTCAAGGTCTTGATTGTGGCATTTCTTTGCGGTTTAGAATCCAGTTTTCCTGTAATTCTTTTGTCTTTTATGATTAAATAAAGAACTCTGTCCCGTCTTCTGTCCGAACGCACCGCGTCGTCTACGTCATGTGACTGTAAATGCGCGAAATCGCCTGAAAAACCTCCTCACGCGAAAGTAAAAACCTTTTTGCGTTTGCGATAAATGCGAGTTTTTGCGAAATTGATTTGTTTCCATTATGCGTATTTTTAATGCGCAATTTCAATCTGCGCAATTTAAAGGGTAACGTCCCAGATAGCAAACTGACATTGAATCAACGTGGAAACGACGTCTCTCATGACATTGAAACAACGTTGATTTTGCTCATCGAATTAACGTTGAACCAACGTCAGACGCGGCATTCTTCAAAGCTAAATGAAAATCGAAAATTGGTTTGCTTTCATAACGTTGAAACAACGCGTTGATTTCAAGTTGATTTTCCGTTAGTTTGGAAAGAATGACGCGTCTGACGTTGGTTCAACGTTAATTCGATGAGCAAAACAATGTCAGATCAACGTTGTTTCGATGTCATATTTCCACGTTGATTCAATGTCAGTTTGCTATCTGGGGTAAACGCGGCCACTGTAAATGCACAAAAACTGTTTCCATTGCAGTTTTGCAAAATACTCGCCTCAGAAAGCGCCTCATATGAGCGTAAAAACTTTTCTGTATTGTAAGGGAGTTTTTGCGAAAATTTACGCGTTTTCAATTTGCGCAATTTGACGGGTAATGGAAACGCGGCTTTTATGCCCAGATTGGCCGCTTGAGAGGTCCGTTGCGATGTGTCCCAGGTTACCCCACCTGTAAGGAGAAGGTGAAGCGGCGGCCCGGCGGGAAGAGCGAGGTGATCTACCGCTTCGTGCAGCGCCCGTTCCTCGCGCTGTCCTGGGAGAAGGAGGAGGGCAAGAGCCGACACGTGGACTTCCAGTGTGTGCGCAGCCGCAGCGTGCCAAACCTCATCACCGCCATGGGGGAGGGGCCCAACCGAGCCACGCCCACTCCACAGGTCGACGAGTTGGATCGGCTCAACGGCCCCGCCCCTCCTGCCCTCCACCAATGACTGATCAGGACTGATTCCTATTCATTATGTCACTGTTATTTACTCATTCATATTGACGAGTCACAGATCACTCCGCGAGTGAGTGTGTGTGACTCGAGTCACAGATCTCTCCATGGATAGATGACCGTTGAACTTTAAAGTACCTGAGATCTTTTCACCGTTGTGTCCTTGAGCGAGACCCTGCCATTACTGTACTGCACAATATCTGCTTATTAATAATCAATTACTAAATCACTCTAGATTATTGTGCATTGTTTTAAAGTCCCCCTGGGGTGAAAGTCCAGCTTTTAATGTTGTCTATGTGTCTGTGGTGTTTTTAATATGCTTTAACCATGTGTAAGTTGATAAGTGGACAACATTGCTGAGTATTTCCTCCTTAAAACTGCAGTGAACCAAAGACAGTCTCAAAAACACGCTTTGAAATCGCTGGTGTCACACACGACCTAGTAACCAATCAGATCCCAGTGAGTGGAGGTGGGGCTCATCTACATATTCATAGAACCTCGCATACTAAATGAGGCGAGGGTGTCGAGTTACTGGATATTTTAAGGCGTGAAGAAATTTTTGAAGGACAAAAACTTTAAATATGTTATTTTGGTGGTGAAAGATGAGTTTTAAGGGATTTAATGATCGAGCACAGGAGGACTTTAAACTTCATTTTTGTGAATGACAGGAGGATCTGGTGTCTGTTTGCGCCATCTAGTGTCAAGATGATAATGGTACAGTACAAGATACAGTAGATTAATGTAATAAATATGAGGTAAACCATTTATAAAGCAGACTTTTCAAGCGTTTTATATCATTTGTAAGCGGGTTTGAATAAAATCATCTGTTAAATTAATGCATCTTCAGTCAATTTTGGAATAAATGTTTTTTTTTGGTTCTGTCTCACTAGGCTGCATTTACTCGATCAGAAATACTGTCAAAAAATATGAAATATTTTTACAAATTAAATCAGCTGTTTTCTATGTGAAAATATAGTAAAGTGTAATTTATTCCTGTGATCAAAGTTGAATTTTCAGCACCATTACTCCAGTCTTCAGTGTGACCCATCAGAAATCACTCTGATTTGATGCTAGAGAAACATTTCAAAAATAAATAGTGCTCAAGAATCTTAATTATTCCAAAATTTTGACTGCAAATGTTATAAAGGTATCTTTCTTGACTAGTTTTCTATCTTTGTTAATTCATCCAAAAAAATTAAACGAGTGAATCAAAACGTATGTAACATTTTTATTGTCTATACTTATAAACTTTTAAGATACTGATACTGAAGATAAACAGGTCAAACGTCTGTCATAAACTAAAAGAAGGCTAAATATCAATATAAAAATATTTAATGAAGCACTGCATGCTATATATAAAAAAGTCTGGAATTCTTTTCAAAGAAACTATCGTTAAATTGACATTAAATCAATCGTACCGACACCAGTAAAAACATTCGCTCGTAAAGCTTACACGTGAGTCACGTGACCCTCCGCTCGTACCTGTTACAGTCAAATCAGCACCAGTCAAATCTAATGCATATACAAATACAGGAAAGCTTTAAACGGCATCAATATCATATTAAACCTACTGCATCAACGGGGTTTCACCCATAATTCGTCTTTATAGTTCAAAATAAACTGCATATAGAGTGATTTGTGACTTGTCTTCGCTGAGGAACAATATGACGGTTGGGTTATGCGCGTGACGTCGGCCGGAGCTCTGGCAGCGGTTATGCGCACTGAGTGGCAGAAACACTGAATTAGTTTAGTTTTCAGAGTTAATGACACGGAAAAACACACAAAACACATCTAAAACGGGTAAGAGCTTCGAGATTGACTGTACAACTAGATTTGACAAGAAATCTGAGGTATAATTTTACAGACTGCCGAAAGCTTCAGATCAGAGAAGCAAAATCATGGATGCTGCGATTCACACAAACAACGACTCCAGGTGGATTTACACTTATTATTTGTGTCAATATGCTCAATTTAGGGGTAAAATCATACACTATATATTGTATTATTATATATTGTATTGACAACTTATCGATTAAATATTTACCTGCATAATTGGATGTTTTTAAATAAACACTGACATAAAAACTACACAAGTTTTAAGGCTGAACGATGTGATGATATATATTATATTGATATAAGTGAACACCCGGATTTATACCTATATTGTATTTATATAAAGTGTTCACAGGCAAATTTGCTTTCTGTATTTCCCCAGCATCGAAATCAGGCTTGTAAATGTCAGGAAACACAATTCCTGTTGCATGTCAATATGATCACTGGATCTTTGGGGAGTTGTTAGAAGCACTATGACGAGTCCAACCTTTAGTTTAAATTGATAATCGTTTGTTTTACTCTTGTTTTCGCAGTTTCTCCTGTTAAATCCAGTCCCTCAGCAGCTCTTCTGCCACTCAGTCCGGCTGTTCCTGCGGGAAAGTGACGTCAATGCATAACCTCTGTATTTAACGCTTTAAATACCCACCGCACTTTAGAACTACAAATTAAGCTTTTATATAAGTGGTTTTTGGTATTAAATCTGCCAAACATTACACACAAATAGTTCTGATGGCAGAAAAGTATAAATAAAAATGAAGTAAATGAAGCAGTTGAAAAATCCAGCGTTGCAAAAGTGAACAGACTGGATATGGAAGTGTGTTCTTTGGTAGTGTTTTGGGTAGAAATGAGAGTTTTCGTGTTTTATCCTCATCGTTTCCCACTCTTCATGTAGGACGGGATGGCTCCTCTGGCCGTCAGACCCTCGAAGCGCTTGTAGGTGTAGTTGACGAAAACCCAGTCCTTGTTCTTGTAGTCCGCCTCCGGGTGATGATGGTTGCTCGCCACCGCCGGACCTCGACACAGCAACAGAACACTTCAGCACTGACAAACTTCGGCTCCATTATCATTTACAAGCTTACGAATAAATCAGTTCATTTAGATATTTATATAGATATAACATTATTTGTTCATATTATAAACTTGTTTTCATGACTGATTTATTAACATCTGTCAGAACATTTTATGTAATAATTTAATAACCTGTAATTTAGAATTTTATAAATATTAATATATAAAACTCCTCTCTAGAGTTAATCTTCTAGCTGACAATCAAGGTTATGGTCATTGAGCGGCTTTTCTGAGGTAAATGTGAAGTTTTTCTACGGTTGAAACCCTGATTGATGGTTCAGAATACCTTCTGATGTTCATTCATGTTTATTTGCTTTGGCAGCTTGTTTCCGCAACAGACTTAAAAAATTACTTTTTCCTCGCAATTGAGACTTTATTTCACACAATTCTGACTCTATAACACGCAATTGTGAGATATAAACACATACAAACTGAGAAAAAAAGTCAGTCTTTTTTCTCTTAGTATTGGACTTTATAACTAGCAATTGCGACTTTATATCTCACAATTAAAAAAAAAGATGTCAGAATTGCGTGATATGAAGTCGCAATTGCGAGTTATAAAGTCCAAAGTCAAAATGAGATTATTTGTATCTTACTTGGCGGCTGCAGGATGTCCGACTCCGGGAACTCGTCGAAGTTCGACGTGTCGTCGATGCTCTTGATCTCGATCGGGATCGCCGCGGGTCTCTCCCTGCGAGCGAGTCGCGAAACCCTCGTTAGATCGAAACCGCATCGTGATTCACGTTTATTTGTATAGCGCTTTTCACAATACACATTTCAGAGGACACTGTCTAAGTTACATATTTCAGAAATGTATATACAAAATCACAGTTAGCTAAAAATGTATGTAATAATTTAATGCAGAAACAATGAACTCATTGAAGTAGCCTAATAAACGCTTGTTTGTAAACTAATGATTATGACATTTAGATTATAAAGAGTATGACAATTGTTGATTCAGAAAGTATTAAAACATCCCGCGCGACGAAACCAGACCTGATGTGATCGTAGTCGACGCCCTCGAAGAAGCCGTTCCTCTTGATGTCGTCGACGCCGGCCGCGCCGATGCGGTGGTCAGCCTCGCAGCAGAAGCGCAGGATCAGCTCTTTCGCTCGCTCTGAGATCGGCACCTCCGGGGGAAACACCAGCGTCTCCTTCCAGCTCATCACCTTCTTATACGTCTCCTGAGGAGTCTCTGAGCAGAACGGCGGGTAGCCTGCAGATGTTTTACATTAAAGGGGTCATCGGATGCCCATTTTCCACAAGTTGGGATGATTCTTTAGGGTCTTCATGTAAAGTTTGTAACATACTTTGGTTAAAATTCCTCTTTTAACCTCCTCAAAAACATCTCCGTTCACAGCGACCTGTTCCAGTCTCTTTAAATGATAATGAGCAAACACTGGTCATAGTGTGCGTGACGTCACCGGTTGTGTTTCTGAAGAGCGTTTTTGAAGCCCAAAGTGGGCGGAGCCGGCCGTCGCCATCTTGGCCGCGCGTCACTCCAGATATAAGAACATGTGCAGCGAGGCGGATTAGCTAAGGTGACGTGACGCTAATGCTAGCAGACAAACGGCTAGTAGTGACATCAGCAGCAATCCACCAGTCATATTATGCAGAACTTAAATATAACTTAATATAATTTAAACGGATGAGTTTCTGCTGTAAAGTTGGACATTTTAACATGGGGGGTTATGGGATTGACTCTCTTTTGCAGCCGGCCTCTAATGGCCAGTGGATGAACTGCGGTTTAAGTCACTTCAGTGTTGGGTTCAAGAGAGAGACCAAAGAGAGACTATAACGACATGCCCTCATTTGTATATCATTCGCTTCTTACCTATCAGCATCTCGTACATGATGACGCCCAGGCTCCACCAATCACAGAGCTTGTTGTATCCAGTCTGCATGAAGACCTCGGGAGCGATGTAGTCTGGCGTTCCCACAGTGGAGAAGGCCTGAAAGAGGCAGAGCAACATAACGCATCACTTCCTGTGTGCCGTGAACGAACTAATAAATCTGGCGTCATCACTGACCAGCTGCCTCCTGTTTCTCTTCCACGTCTCCGCCTTCCTCTTGGAGTTCATGTGCTGAAACGCTTCAAGAAAAACGTGTGAATTATTAATATTTTGAATCTATATTCATAGGTTAAAGAGAATAGTGATGTCCACACCATGACAATAATGATCACTTCTGAGGAATGATATCGTTGAATCACTTCTAGAATGATTTTTTTTTCCAGCTGATGAATAAATACATTGACAGCCAATCAGAAACCATCACAAGAGCTTGAGCATTTAAAGTGACAAACGACAAAACTGCAGTGCGTGCTTAGAAGAAACAGAAAACTATCGTCCGCCGTAATATATTAAGCATTTCAGTCAACATTATAGTTACTGTCTGCTGGTGTGAACGCTAATATAGTTATCGTTATAGTTATCGTCCGCTGGTGTGAACACTAATATAGTTATCGTTATAGTTATCGTCCGCTGGTGTGAACGCTAATATAGTTATCGTTATAGTTATCGTCCGCTGGTGTGAACACTAATATAGTTATCGTTATAGTTATCGTCCGCTGGTGTGAACGCTAATATAGTTATCGTTATAGTTATCGTCCGCTGGTGTGAACACTAATATAGTTATCGTTATAGTTATCGTCCGCTGGTGTGAACACTAATACAGTTATCGTTATAGTTATCGTCCGCTGGTGTGAACACTAATACAGTTATCGTTATAGTTATCGTCCGCTGGTGTGAACACTAATATAGTTATCGTTATAGTTATCGTCCGCTGGTGTGAACACTAATATAGTTATCGTTATAGTTATCGTCCGCTGGTGTGAACACTAATATAGTTATCGTTATAGTTATCGTCCGCTGGTGTGAACACTAATACAGTTATCGTTATAGTTATCGTCCGCTGGTGTGAACACTAATATAGTTATCGTTATAGTTATCGTCCGCTGGTGTGAACACTAATATAGTTATCGTTATAGTTATCGTCCGCTGGTGTGAACACTAATATAGTTATCGTTATAGTTATCGTCCGCTGGTGTGAACACTAATATAGTTATCGTTATAGTTATCGTCCGCTGGTGTGAACACTAATATAGTTATCGTTATAGTTATCGTCCGCTGGTGTGAACACTAATATAGTTATCGTTATAGTTATCGTCCGCTGGTGTGAACACTAATATAGTTATCGTTATAGTTATCGTCCGCTGGTGTGAACACTAATATAGTTATCGTTATAGTTATCGTCCGCTGGTGTGAACACTAATATAGTTATCGTTATAGTTATCGTCCGCTGGTGTGAACGCTAATATAGTTATCGTTATAGTTATCGTCCGCTGGTGTGAACACTAATATAGTTATCGTTATAGTTATCGTCCGCTGGTGTGAACGCTAATATAGTTATCGTTATAGTTATCGTCCGCTGGTGTGAACACTAATATAGTTATCGTTATAGTTATCGTCCGCTGGTGTGAACACTAATATAGTTATCGTTATAGTTATCGTCCGCTGGTGTGAACACTAATATAGTTATCGTTATAGTTATCGTCCGCTGGTGTGAACACTAATATAGTTATCGTTATAGTTATCGTCCGCTGGTGTGAACACTAATATAGTTATCGTTATAGTTATCGTCCGCTGGTGTGAACACTAATATAGTTATCGTTATAGTTATCATCCGCTGATGTGGACACTAATATAGTTATCGTTATAGTTATCGTCCGCTGGTGTGAACACTAATACAGTTATCGTTATAGTTATCGTCCGCTGGTGTGAACACTAATATAGTTATCGTTATAGTTATCGTCCGCTGGTGTGAACACTAATATAGTTATCGTTATAGTTATCGTCCGCTGGTGTGAACACTAATATAGTTATCGTTATAGTTATCGTCCGCTGGTGTGAACACTAATATAGTTATCGTTATAGTTATCGTCCGCTGGTGTGAACACTAATATAGTTATCGTTATAGTTATCGTCCGCTGGTGTGAACACTAATATAGTTATCGTTATAGTTATCGTCCGCTGGTGTGAACACTAATATAGTTATCGTTATAGTTATCGTCCGCTGGTGTGAACACTAATATAGTTATCGTTATAGTTATCATCCGCTGATGTGGACACTAATATAGTTATCGTTATAGTTATCGTCCGCTGGTGTGAACACTAATACAGTTATCGTTATAGTTATCGTCCGCTGGTGTGAACACTAATATAGTTATCGTTATAGTTATCGTCCGCTGGTGTGAACACTAATATAGTTATCGTTATAGTTATCGTCCGCTGGTGTGAACACTAATACAGTTATCGTTATAGTTATCGTCCGCTGGCGTGAACACTAATATAGTTATCGTTATAGTTATCGTCCGCTGGTGTGAACACTAATATAGTTATCGTTATAGTTATCGCCCGCTGGTGTGGACACTAATATAGTTATCGTTATAGTTATCGTCCGCTGGTGTGAACAATAATACAGTTATCGTTATAGTTATCATCTGCTGGTGTGAACACTAATTATTTATAGAGCACATACGAATATTCAAATATGAACATGAATATTAATTATGTTTGCATATTTGTGATCGAATCACTCACTGAGGTCGTTTGATTTGCTGTGGTTCAGGTTGCGGTAAAACTCGGTCCGATGCGCTTTTTTGAGGCCCGTACACAAGCCAAAATCGGACAGTTTGACATGACCCTGAAACACACACACACACACACATCAAATGAAATAGCCAATCAGAGGCCTCGCTGACAGAGAATCCAGCAAAAGCAGAAGCCACACAGGAAGAGGTTTATTGAGTCACTTCCTGTCCCTGAGACCTTGGAGTCCAGTAACAGGTTGTCGGGTTTGATGTCTCGGTGTATGAAGCCCAGCTGATGGATGAAGTCGATGGCCAGAACCGTCTCAGCCACGTAGAACTGCGTCTCCTCCTCCGTCAGGGTGTCTTTCTTCATCAGCAGCGTCATCATGTCCCCTGGAGAGCAGAGAGGAGTCTGATTCCCCTTTGGTTTTCCACGTACTTACAGTAGTTCACTGCAGAATTAACATTTCCTGATTATTTACTTTACTGCCATCATCCAAGATGTTCATGTTCATGAAGGTTTTTGAGGAACACGCTTGACCTTTCACCCTGATCACGTAATGTGTGTCGCCTCACAGCTCGTGCAAGACCAGAATTAGTGGTTATAAAGTATATAAATGTGTATTATGTTCTAAATGTTGCTGGTTTGTCTAGATCAGACTCTTATTCCTCGGCTGGATCGTGTCGAAACTTTGAAGCTGCACTGAAACTCACATCTGGACCTTCGACCCGTTGAACCCCATTGAAGACACTATATGGAGAAACATCCTGGAGTGTGTTCCTCAAAAACCTAAATTTCTTTTCCACTGAAGATAGAAACACTTGAACATCTTGGATGACGTGGCGGAGAGTAAATTATCAGGAAATTTTAATTCTGATGTGAACAACTGCTTTAAGCATCAAAAGCACAATTTGAGAATTGAATGATTCTCACAAACGAATCTGTACTGATTCTCTTAAAAGAATCAACTCGAATAGTTCTTTTGAGTCAGTTCAATGAATCATTCAAAAGGTCCTGAAGAAAAGTCTAAACAAAAATGTGCAGCTGATTTGGAAAATGAAGTGGACTAAACATGAAGACACATGTGAAAGTACAAAACTAATAAGTTCATCATTACACACACCTCCAGGCAGGAACTCCATGAGTAAGTAAAGATTCAGTTTATCCTGAAAACTGTAGAACATTTTCACCACCCACAGACTGTCTGCCTGGACCAAGATGTCCCGCTCCGCCCGGATGTGACCCACCTGGGACAGAAAATGAAATGAAATTGAATTGAAATAATTAAATTACATTCAATTTAAAAAATAATATTTTTTTTAAATAATAACAAATGAAAAAAAAAATAATAATTTTTTTTTACGTTATAAAAAATTAAATAAAAAGTGACAAAAAATATAAAAAAACTAAATAAAGTAAAAAAGAAATAAAAAAAATGTAAAAAATAACAATGACAAAAAACATATAATAACCAAATAAAGTAATAAAAAATAAAAATAGACAAAATAAAATTCTAGAATTAAAATAACCTGTTTTTAATAAAAAGTTCATAAGGCGTCACCTGCTCTTTCTGCAGCATGTCGGCTTTGCGAAGGATCTTCATTGCGTAAACGTGACCTGTGTCTTTCTTCTGAACTAGACGCACCTGTGGACGTCAGAAACACATTTGAAAAGTGTATAACACACACACACACACACACACAAACTTTTCTAAGTTTGTCGTTTGCACTCATTATCATAATCACCTCTCCAAAGGCTCCTCGTCCAATCACCTTCAGAGACTCAAAGTCGTCCAGACCCAGTCTGGTTCTCTTCAGACGGAGGAACTCGGTCTCTTTACGAGCATGTTGGGAACGCCGCACACGCTTCTGGAACGCAACACGAGCATTTGCGAATATTAATATAATCAAATGTGTGTAAAGTCCCATTCACACCAAGAACGATATTAGTCACACACCCAGATTAGACATTGGTGTGAATGCTAATATAGTTATCGTTATAGTTATCGTCCGCTGGTGTGGACACTAATATAGTTATCGTTATAGTTATCGTCCGCTGGTGTGAACACCAATATAGTTATCGTTATAGTTATCGTCCGCTGGTGTGAACGCTAATATAGTTATCGTTATAGTTATCGTCCGCTGGTGTGAACACTAATATAGTTATCGTTATAGTTATCGTCCGCTGGTGTGAACACTAATATAGTTATCGTTATAGTTATCGTCCGCTGGTGTGAACACTAATATAGTTATCGTTATAGTTATCGTCCGCTGGTGTGGACACTAATATAGTTATCGTTATAGTTATCGTCCGCTGGTGTGAACACTAATATAGTTATCGTTATAGTTATCGTCCGCTGGTGTGGACACTAATATAGTTATCGTTATAGTTATCGTCCACCGGTGTGGACACTAATATAGTTATCGTTATAGTTATCGTCCGCTGGTGTGAACACTAATATAGTTATCGTTATAGTTATCGTCCGCTGGTGTGAACACTAATATAGTTATCGTTATAGTTATCGTCCGCTGGTGTGAACACTAATATAGTTATCGTTATAGTTATCGTCCGCTGGTGTGAACACTAATATAGTTAGTTATCGTTATAGTTATCGTTATAGTTAGTTATATAGATAGTTATCGTTATAGTTATCGTCCGCTGGTGTGGACACTAATATAGTTATCGTTATAGTTATCGTCCGCTGGTGTGGACACTAATATAGTTATCGTTATAGTTATCGTCCGCTGGTGTGGACACTAATATAGTTATCGTTATAGTTATCGTCCGCTTGTGTGAACACTAATATAGTTATCGTTATAGTTATCGTCCGCTGGTGTGAACACTAATATAGTTATCGTTATAGTTATCGTCGGCTGGCGTGAACACTAATATAGTTATCGTTATAGTTATCGTCCACCGGTGTGAACACTAATATAGTTATCGTTATAGTTATCGTCCGCTGGTGTGAACACTAATATAGTTATCGTTATAGTTATCGTCCGCTGGTGTGAACACTAATATAGTTATCGTTATAGTTATCGTCTGCTGGTGTGAACACTAATATAGTTATCGTTATAGTTATCGTCCGCTGGTGTGAACACTAATATAGTTATCGTTATAGTTATCGTCCGCTGGTGTGAACACTAATAGTTATCGTTATAGTTATCGTCCGCTGGTGTGAACACTAATATAGTTATCGTTATAGTTATCGTCGGCTGGTGTGAACACTAATATAGTTATCGTTATAGTTATCGTCCGCTGGTGTGAACACTAATATAGTTATCGTTATAGTTATCGTCCGCTGGTGTGAACACTAATATAGTTATCGTTATAGTTATCGTCCGCTGGTGTGAACACTAATATAGTTATCGTTATAGTTATCGTCCGCTGGTGTGAACACTAATATAGTTATCGTTATAGTTATCGTCCGCTGGTGTGAACACTAATATAGTTATCGTTATAGTTATCGTCCGCTGGTGTGAACGCTAATAGTTATCGTTATAGTTATCGTCCGCTGGTGTGAACACTAATATAGTTATCGTCCGCTGGTGTGAACACTAATATAGTTATCGTTATAGTTATCGTCCGCTGGTGTGAACACTAATATAGTTATCGTTATAGTTATCGTCCGCTGGTGTGAACACTAATATAGTTATCGTTATAGTTATCGTCCGCTGGTGTGAACACTAATATAGTTATCGTTATAGTTATCGTCCGCTGGTGTGAACACTAATATAGTTATCGTTATAGTTATCGTCCGCTGGTGTGAACACTAATATAGTTATCGTTATAGTTATCGTCCGCTGGTGTGAACACTAATATAGTTACCGTTATAGTTATCGTCCGCTGGTGTGAACACTAATATAGTTATCGTTATAGTTATCGTCCGCTGGTGTGAACACTAATATAGCTATCGTTATAGTTATCGTCCACTGGTGTGAACACTAATATAGTTATCGTTATAGTTATCGTCCGCTGGTGTGAACACTAATATAGTTATCGTTATAGTTATCGTCCGCTGGTGTGAACACTAATATAGTTATAGTCCGCTGGTGTGAACGCTAATATATTTATCGTTATGTTTATCGTTAGTGTTCTTGGTGTGAACGTGTTTGTGTTTGTTACCTCTTCATCAGGCAGCCCTTCCTCATCCATCACCTTCTCCAGTTTCTGCTGCCTGTCAACAGAACGTTCTAGATTATGAGACGCAAGACCCAAATCATCCCACTTCTCATAATATTTCTGCGGTATGCTATACTATAGTTCTCAAAATGTGTTGTGTACAACAGATCACACTCGACATCACCTTTATGTTTTTCATCTAATATATATTTTGCCTTTATTTCAATGAACAAAAAATGATTTTAATGGTTTTGGTTAACGATATGCGCTCAGATATGCGTTTCGTGTCGACTTTAGCAAGGAACTGTTAATGTTATAAAGCTCTGTAAATGAGCAACACAGGAAGTGTTTCACCACAGAGGACTGATGTAGCGTCACGCTCGACTGGCGGAGCACAACACGACTGATGCTAAGGACGGACAAAACCAGTCAAATATCACCTCCGTTCTGCTCATATTTATCACCATTTTCATAAACTATTGCGAAGAGACTGTGATAATGTGAGAAATGTGTGAATAAGTGCAGGTTTGAGTGTAGGTTCTTCAGATCCGAGTTTTGGAGGCTCGGCTCTATAATACCATAGTTTTAAGTGTGATTTGAGTGTCGTTGAGAATCAGAAGTTCCTTATGAAACTCTTCATCATGACGTTTCTGTGTGTTTATACCTCATTTCGCGCTCCTCGTGTTGGGATATGAGGTTGCTGTAGAAGTTCTCCAGAGTGACCTTGGCCATGGTCACCCGCTCCTTGGTGTGGTTGCTCATTAACGAGCTGGAGGCGTGGCCTCGGGTCGCCATGGTTACGACTGCTGTTCTGGAACCGGCTGGGATGTAGATCTGCAGGCGTTTACAAACACAACATGATTTACATGAGCTGGAACAAACACAACAAACACCAGCGCTGCAGACACATCACACTGAGTATACAAGCAAGAACACAACACCTATAGGCCACTCTTACAATATCAGCGATTCTTTACGTTTACGGAATAATTTCTTCAGTTCAGCCTGTCTGTGGCTCTGTGTAAGTGAGACAGACAGTGGAAAAGAACAAATGTGACCATAAAAACATTTGGCAGAAGTTGTTCAGACAGTCTGTGGTCTAAAGCACAAACGCTCAAGAGGAAATTCAGACTCAGTTTCAGGAACAATAATGCTATTATTATAATTATTTAACCAATTATTATTTAACCAGCATGCAAAAATATTAATGTAATTTTACTTTGAACGTAATAGCTCTGTAAATGACAGACAACAACATTTACATTTTAAAACAAAATGGCTGTGGACAAACCAAACTGCTTCTACCACATAAGAAAGTGCGCATAAATAAAGTGAAATGTGGAAACATGCATGTGTTTTATAATGTCAGACTTGCAGAAGTTCAGAACATATAATTATGGAATGAGGGATCAGGGGGCGGGGCCACGCTCGTGACGTCAGCGGCGAGCGTTCCACCGAACACGCTAAACTCAACGTTTAAAACGAAAAAAAAACTCTGAAAAGCGGCACCAACCTGATATAAAGTTGCTCAGAGTTTTGCTTTGGCTGTTGAAGGACGATATTTCCCTCGACACGTTGTCTCTTGGCAAACAGACATGAAGCGACTCCCCCAAAAAAGAAAAAAACGGGGGAAAAAACTGGACAAATGTACGAGTTTTTATAGACACGCGCAACTAAAAACGGTACGCAGAAATACGTGTGTGTTCAACTGGACGGAACTTCATCCAGTGACAATAAACCATATAAACATGCAACTCTTCTGTGTTTGCCAGACTGATGTGATGACGAGTTCGCCAGAAAGAGATGAGAAGAAATGAAATGACGCTCCACCCCTAAAGAAAGAGAGAGAGAGAGAGATACGCAGACTCTCTCTCTCTCTCACACACACACACACACGCACACACACAATTCTAAAATGTTGATTGATTATTCTTCTTACTTTTTATAAATGTAGCCTATGTGATCGTGATGATTAATCACATTATCACTGAAAAAAATAGAAAATAGAAATACTTTGGCAACTGAGAGAGAGAGATTAGATAAGAGACTTTTCAAAAACTTTTTTTTCGCACTCTAAAAATACTTTATACATTTGATCTATTTTTATATCTGAAATGTATGAAAATTTAACTATAAAAACGTAGCAAATATAAAGAATTTTTATTATTAAATGTATTTATTTACGTATTTGTTTGTTTTTGTCATTAAACTGTAGTACAATAATCAAAAACTATAATTATATACTATAATATATTACAGATCAATACATTTTGAAACCAATCAAAACAAAGTCATCAACAAATCATAAATAGAGATTCCAATGTGTACATTTTCATGAAAAACTCATTTCATAATTGAAATGCAAAAAAATTTGCTTACATCTGGCAAGTTAAATAGTTTGCCGTTAGGCTACTATATTCATAAAGTTAAATGGAATGAAAAACTGCCAAATTGTGAACAATTTAACATGATATTAAAATATAGTTATAAAAAAATAAACTTTTAATAAGTACAAATGTTTGTGTAAAATGCTCTTTATTTCTTTTTCGCTTTATTTACCCCTTAAATGTATGGTTTTATGTAATCCTGTATGTAAATTATGTTTTGTTGTTATTAAAATGCAATAAAAATACAAAATACAAACCTTTGATTCTTCTTCAGTGCTCGTCCTGCGCGCTATCAGCGCATCTACGACTTTCTAGAATCACCTCTGCGCCTGCGCAGTTCCTCGCATCTACGACACCCTTGACGCATCTTGTGGACCTGCACCGGAAGTGACCGGTGTTGTTGGTCTAGCAGTTTGCGCTAACCGGACCGGGACCGGCAGAACCGACACCAGACTCGAAACATCAGGATCCCATCGGGCCGAACGGATAGATCGTGCATTTCTCCGAATCTAGCGTTCATCTGAAGTTACTGGGTGAGTTTTGCGATCGGATAGACATCGAACTGGACCAGGACTCGAACCCTGAACCTCTGCTACACCGGACCCGAGACCCCCGGTCGGTGACACTGAGATATAGCCTCGATTTGACCCGTTAATCCCGGTATCATTGAGCCAGACAGATTACTCCTTCACTGTTACATAATAATGATCTTAATTAACATATTATTCCGTTTTTAGTAGCATGACAACTCTTTATAAAGTTCCAGATCGTAATACCAAAGTACTGAGGAAAAAAAAAACATATTCCAAATGAGTAGAACTTCAGAAGAATACATGATTCTGCAGAATGATCAAATGTGTTTCACTTGTTTATGTTGTAGTCAACCTATGAGTGAAATGTGTGTGTGTGCAGTTAGGTCTGGGAAGTGTGTGTATATGGATTTGTCTGTAATTTTACTCCGATTTACAAAAGAACTTACCTTAATAAACTCTTAAAAATAGCGTAACGTTAGGCCTTTCTTAAGAGTTTTTTAAGTATGAAAGCTTGTTTCTGCAACAGTTTCTGAAAAAAAAAATTCTCCTCAGAATTGCGAGTTTATATCTCAGATTTTATATCTTACAATTTTGAGGAAAAAAATTCACATCACCATATCTGGCTTTTCTATACTAGTTTCCATACGCGACTGTTTACACTATTATCCTGAACATTTAGCAAGTGTTCCCGGTGTGTTTCGTTGCAGTGAGGGTCAGGATCGCGGTTGGCGGCGTGACGTGCGCTCCAGAGGCTTTTGTTTGGGGGCGTGGCCTGTTGGCGTCTACCAACTCACGATTGGTGAACAGGTGACATGATTTGCATTTTTGATAAAATTCTGTGATGGTGTTTTCAGTAGCGCTGCACGATTAATCGCAATGAAACCACACGCCATTTGGCAAAGACTTATGCGCAGCTTGTCAGTGCAGCGGCTGATTTATTGTAAATACTCCATCTGAACACCTGAGGGCGTCACACACACACACACACGCCCTGCAGGAATACGATGACGACACACATCATTATCTGAATAAACAGAAGATTGAAACGCTTGGCTGAAACATGACTAATAAACACGCGACTGCCTTATTCTGTGTGAGAAGCGCTCTCGTTATGAAGTGAGTTTGGGGTAAAAGCGTGTTATTAAATGTTGTCTTTTGTTGGAAAAGAGGTTCATAAATTCGTCTCATGTTTGGAAAGAGGTTTGTTATAAGCGACTCAAACTCGCAGTGCTGTCAGAGTGAGCCGCGCTTCACTGACACGCTGCGCACAACTGATAATGCCAGCATTTCCGATTTCTTGTAGTTTTCATTATTAAATTAACGTATCTGTTTGAAGGTGCCTAGCCATCCTGCTGTGGCTCTGCAGGCGTGTAGTGGGCGGAGTCAGGCTCAGGCTGTGATTGGCTGAGAGTGATGAGCGGGCGGGGCGGGGCCAGTAGCCGCGAGCGGCGACATGGCATGGATTCGTCGTGCTGGTTCGCTCCTAGCGCCCTGCGGCGACTGGTCGAGCTGCCGGCGCCGGTTCTGTCACGCCACCAGCTGAAGCGTTTAGAGGAGCATCGCTACAGCAGTTCGGGACGCTCGCTACTCGAACCCATAATGCAACGCTACTGGGAGTGGCTCGTCGGCAGAATGCCACCCTGGATCGCGCCCAACCTCATCACCATCGTCGGCCTGGCGACCAACATCTTCACAACACTGGTGCTGGTGTATTACTGCCCGACTGCAACCGAACAGGTATCCACACACACTTTTATGATGAATGGGTGCACTTTTAATTCACTGCCATTATAAAGCTTGGAAGAGCCAGGACATTTTGTAATATAACTCGTGTTCGTCTGAGAGAAGAGTGTCATACACAGCTAGGATGTCTTTAGGGGGAAACAATCATGGCTAGGGTTGGGTATCGAGAATCGAGTATCGATTGGAACCGAGACTAACTTTTCGTTTTTCCCGGAATCGTTTAAAAGTTAAAATTTCAATTCCTAGTTTCGATATTCACAGTCCGCCGAGCGGAAGAAGAAACCACTGAACAACACCAACGAAGAAGCGTCTACCGGAAGTGTTGGCATAGCTGCGCGAGTCGAACATTAGTAGCTTACGTCGGCGGTCCAAAGTGTGGCTTCACTTTTCTAAAAATTAACGAAATCTCGGCAAAATGCAAAATTTGTGACAAGTATTTGTGACAGAAGGAGTATTTCCTTCAGAAAGACCGTTGGTTAGCAAGGTTAGCTAAACTTTTTTGACCCTGCCTCTTAAAAGAATCGAAATCGAGAATCGTTAGGAACCGGAATCGAAACAAGCAATCGGAATCGGAATCAGAATCGTTCAAATTCAAACGATACCCAACCCTAATCATGGGCTTATTTTCACTTTTGGGTGTACTGTCCCTTTAATGGCACGTGTTCAGGCTCCTCTCTGGGCGTACCTCCTGTGTGCCGTGGGCCTGTTCGTCTATCAGTCGCTGGACGCCATCGACGGGAAACAGGCCAGACGCACCAACAGCAGTTCACCACTGGGGGAGCTGTTCGACCACGGCTGCGACTCGCTCTCCACAGGTGACCGGCGCACACTTTAGATAATAGATCATTGCAAATAATTATAATATGTATAATAATATGAATTATATTGATAATTAGTATATATTTTTATATAATATAATTATTGAATAAAACTTTAATGTAATGGTATACTTGCATAATTAGTAATGTTTTATTTAAATAATATTTTCAAAATGATGTACATAATGTATGTACATTTGTATATAAATATAATAAATTATACTAATGATTTAAATATTTAAAATAATGCGCTTTCATTTGATACATATCAAATACATATTTTTAAATACTTAAATAGTAAATAATATAAATATGAAATAAATAATTTGCATTATTAGTCATTTCTAATTAAATTATATATTTAAAAAATGAATAATGTATATTATAAATAATGTATGTACATTTCTATATATGAATTGTAAATATTTAACGTGTCGTGTGTGTGTGTTACCGCAGTGTTTGTGGTGTTGGGCACCAGTATAGCGGTTCAGCTGGGCTCTCACCCCGACTGGATGTTCTTCTGCTGTTTCTCCGGCATGTTCATGTTTTATTGCGCGCACTGGCAGACCTACGTCTCCGGCACGCTGCGCTTCGGCATGTGAGTACGACGGCCTTCCATGCAGATCCATACGGGCAAAATTACCGTACATTTTATGTAGAATAATCTGCAGAATATATCGAAATATCACAGATGTACTGTATATATCAGGGTATGCATATCGCAATAACTGGGGTCATGAACAAAAGACAGAGAACTTTAGTAGCTTTGATAAAAATCAGGATATATTTAATTAAAAGAAATGAACCTTTTTAGCTTACCTTTCGTTAAGGCAAGACACTATTTAACTGCCGTTTTCTCCAAATGAGATTTATTCTCCACTTCAGGAGCACTTACACACACCAAAACTTACAGTTTTATTCCCATCTATATTCTGATGAATTTTACTGAGGGGTTTGTTCATATATATTTGGCTTGAAATTTTGCAACATTTTTAATAATTTTTTTTTTTTGACAGTATTTTCTGAGCGATGATAAGAGTAAAAACCTTTAATTCTAACTTATCAACAAAACCAAACAAGAATAATGAGGCTGCCTTTATCCAATGTTCAAATTTATATTATGCAAATGTATCCATATTTAATTTGATAATGTTTGCATATCTAAACAGAACATTTCAGAAAACTTGTGTGTGATTCGTAATGTTCTCTATCAGCTGTTGATTAGTTTAGTCTGGTATAGAGCTGGGGTGTGTTGCTTTAAGGGTGTGTGTGTGTGTTTTGTCACTGTCCCGTGGGCAGATTTGATGTCACAGAACTGCAGATCTGTCTAGTGTTGTTGCAGATGTTTACGGCTACGGTTGGGCCCACGTTTTGGAACGAAACGGTAAAATCCAGCGCCGAACGGCCAATCAAACGCGAGCAATGCACCAATCAATCAGCTTCCTGAAACACTAATGAACCTCACGCTTTCAGACCAGTGATTCCAGTTCAGATCATATATCTGTGATAAGCGAGTGTGTGTGTGTGTGTGTGTGTGTGTTCTAACACGGCTCTCTTCTGCGCTCAGCATTGATGTTACAGAAGTGCAGATCTTCATAATTCTCATGTATGTACTGGCTGCTGTTGGCGGATCGGCTTTCTGGCAGTCTCGGGTAATTCACGCACACGCTCAATCTGTTTATAACATAATATAACATGTGTGTGTGTGCTAACCACAAATAACAACTGTTGATTCATCTGATCACTCTCGTAGACCATAAATACCTTTACGTTATTGTCATATCTTTGTCTTTTCAATAATGTGGTATATTCATAATAATAATATATTTGCATTATATTTTATAATGTATTTAAATAGTAAATAGATAAAGTTTCATTTATTGAATCTTTTGTGTGTTACAGTGTGTAATACAGAATACAGTGTGTAATTTAAATTATAATGTATTTACAAATTCTATATATTTTATATATATTATAAAATAACAAATTACGTAATGCGAATGTATTATAATTTAAGTACAATTTTTTTATAAATTAATATTAATCATATAATATAAAAAAATACAAAAACTATATTTTTTTATTATAATTTAGTATACTAATGAATTACAATATGTAAATAATAATGTATGTACATAATATTATAAATAATGCAAATTTATAATTTAAGTACATGTTTTTAATTAATATATAAATGTATGTGCATGTATTTCGTATTATAATGTTGTATATTAAGAAATAACAATGTAAATTCAAATTTATGTACATACATTATATATTTAATATTATAATATATTAATAATAAATAACAATGTAAAGTATAATGTCTATACATAAATTCTATATAAAATGTGTAAATTCTATTATAAAAGAATATATTAATGTAAATTATACATTAAAAACTGTATAAATAAATCTTTGAAATAAGGTATTATATAATAATGATGTATATTATTGTATGATATATTTAAGCTTTTTGAACTGAACTGTTTCTCATTCAACAGATTCCCGTCATTAACATCCAAATGAAGATGATTCCTCCACTCTGCACGTTTATCGGCGCCGTTTTCACGTGTACCAATTACTTCCGAGTCATATTTACCGGCGGCGTGGGGAAAAACGGCTCCACCATAGCGGTATGTACCTATATTATATTATAAACACTCATGTCACCATACTGAACTCACGATATTACTGAGAAAAGATGAACAAAAACATGTACTGTTGATTAAAATGCTAAATTTGATATTACATTGTGGGTTTAAATTAATAGCCTTGTGCTGGAACCCAATGAACAGGACAATTAAATATTAATTATTCTGAAGCTGAAAATACAAATACTTGATCTCGGTCACTGACTAGATATATATAAATAATGTTGGCCACTTTTTACTGGTAACATCAGACATCTGGCATTATCAGAACCCACAAATATTGCATTATTATACATTATAATCAGCATTATATATAATATAGTAGTCTGTCCACAGTATATATTGTCACATATCGTTGCATTTTTGTATTGGAATATATTGTGACACCCCTGCTATATACACAATATTTCTGACCTGCATTATTATATGACATGTATTTTCACTTCATCGGTGTGTGTGTGTGTTTTAGGGTACGAGTGTTTTGTCTCCCGTCCTGCACATCGGCTCAGTTATCATCCTCGCTATGATGATTTATAAAAAATCATCCGTCCTGCTCTTCGAGAAACACCCGTGTGTGTATATTCTCGCCTTCGGCTTCGTATCGGCCAAAATCACCAATAAACTAGTGGTGAGTGAAAGACCGATATATATATATATATATAAATATTTAAAATAATGCACATTAATCTGATAATAATATATAGTTTTAATACATATTATATATATATGTATTTAAAATATTGATTTAATAAATACTTTGTCATGTTATATTTGTATACAGTAATTAGTAATTTTTAATGTAGTTCATTTCTTAATAAAAATTCATAATGTAAATGATATACATTATGTATTTAAATTTGTATTTATAATCAATTATTTAAAAAACTTAAATATGCATGTGGCTAATATGTATGTGTGTATATAGTTTTTCATGCACTAGTCAATTTTGAGATTTTGGGCTATTTGGCTTTTCACAGACTAGTGTAATGAAATCATGTAAAACACTTTTAAGTGTTTATTTTATTGGACTATATCTGTATATTTAACTGCCGTTTTCTCCAAATGAGATTTGTTCTCCACTTCAGGAGCACTTACACACACCAAAACTTACAGTTTTATTCATAACTATATTCTGATGAATTTTACTGAGGGGTTTGTTCATATATATTTGGCTTGAAATTTTACAACGTTTTTAAAAACACTAAATTAACGAAACATTAAATTTCACTTTTGACACTTTTTTTTCTGCTTTATGTAGCGATGAAAAGAGAAATCCAAAATCCCTTCTGTAAAAACCTTCAACTCTAATATGTCAACTAAATCAAACACGAATTTTGTGTCTGGCTTTATCCAATATTTATATTTATTTATTTTAAAAGTATATAAATCAATTTAGAAAAACATAATAGTTGTGGTAAATTACAATCAATATATAGTAAATGTAAGTTAAAGTGTCGCCGATGTAACCGGTTAAAATTTGAAGTGGCGATGAGGTCTTAAAATGTATTAAATTGAACTCCATGATTCCAGTATATACTCTGCTTCTGCAAATGTAAGCACACCAATACCTGAGTGGCGTTTCTTCATCTTCTGTCGTACTGAACTTTAACCTCAGGTGGCTCACATGACCAAGAGTGAGATGCATCTTCACGACGTGGTGTTCCTGGGCCCCGGCCTGTTGTTTCTCGATCAGTACTTCAACAGCTTCATCGACGAGTATCTGGTGTTGTGGATTTCTCTGGTAAGGTCACATGGTCTCAAACTCGTCACAAACAGTGTTGGGGAAACTTACAAGTAATGCATTCAAATATTGCGTTACTCCCAAAGGAAGTAACTAATTGCGTTAATTAGTTACTTTTTTATTAAAAGTAATGTGTTGTATTACTTTAGCGTTTCTTTTTTAAATTAATTTAATGTTTGTTTTTTAATAGCAACAAAACAGTTATATTTTTGACAAATGTTAAAGGGATACTCCACTTTTTTTTTTTTTTTTGGAAATAGGCTCATTTTGCAACTCCCCCAGAGTTAAACAGTTGGGTTTTACCGTTTTCGAATCCATTCAGCCGATTTTCTGATATTTAGAGGAACATCAGTAACCAGACAGTTTCTGGTCTCATTGACTTCCACAGTATATTTTTTTCCAACTACGGAAGTCAATGAGACCAGAAACTGTCTGGTTACTGATGTTCCTCTAAATATCAGAAAATCGGCTGAATGGATTCGAAAACGGTAAAACCCAACTGTTTAATTCTGGGGGAGTGGTAAAATGAGCCTATTTCCCCCCCAAAAAAGTGGAATATCCCTATAAGGCCCTTTCACACCAAAAGTGAAATGCATGAAAAAGGAAGTGCATATTTACCACTTTACAGTCGAGTACAGTAGAGGGCGCTGCTCAGACAAACCTTTCAGCTGTTGTTATTCTGGATTAAAGAACAATAGGATACAAGAGAAGGAAGTTCAACACTCTTATTTATTCGAAAACTAATCTTAAGTAATTAATTGAGATTAAATACATAAAGTCTATTTAATTAAAATTGTAATTTAATATAGTTATAAAAGTTTTGCGTAAAATTCTAAAATTGCGTTTTGAGGAATACTGAATGTTTTGGTGCAAGTGAGAAAAGGTGAGTGAGGAAAAGTAACTATTAACTAAGTAACTAAGATATTTTGATGCAAATTGAAAAATTAATGTTACTTGTTAGTTGAAAAAGTAATCTGATTATTACATACCTCAAGTTGCTTGTACCGAGTTACACCCAACACTGGTTACTTACTTGAAAAAGTAACTTAGATATTTTATTGTAAATTGAAAAAGTAATGCGTTACATTACTAGTTACTTGAAAAAGTAATCTGATTACATAACTCAAGTTACTTGTACCGAGTTACACCCAACACTGGTTACTTACTTGAAAAAGTAACTTAGATATTTTATTGTAAATTGAAAAAGTAATGCGTTACATTACTAATTACTTGAAAAAGTAATCTGATTACATAACTCAAGTTACTTGTACCGAGTTACACCCAACACTGGTTATTTACTTGAAAAAGTAACTTAGATATTTTATTGTAAATTGAAAAAGTAATGTGTTACATTACTAGTTACTTGAAAAAGTAATCTGATTACATAACTCAAGTTACTTGTACTGAGTTACACCCAACACTGGTTATTTACTTGAAAAAGTAACTTAGATATTTTATTGTAAATTGAAAAAGTAATGCGTTACATTACTAGTTACTTGAAAAAGTAATCTGATTACATAACTCAAGTTACTTGTACCGAGTTACACCCAACACTGGTTACTTACTTGAAAAAGTAACTTAGATATTTTATTGTAAATTGAAAAAGTAACGCGTTACATTACTAGTTACTTGAAAAAGTAATCTGATTACAACTCAAGTTACTTGTACTGAGTTACCCTCGACACTGCTCGTCATGTCTGGTAATCTCTCTTTACTGTGTGTGTCCATCAGATTCTCTCTCTCTTCGATCTGGTGCGCTACTGCGTGAGCGTCTGCAACGAGATCGCGTCTCACCTGCGCATCTGCGTCTTCAAAATCAAGCCGAGTGACCTCTGACCTCCCTCATGCACTTTCATCCTGCTACTGTTTCTCGTCTGAGACGTATTTAAAACATTCTGCACTTAGAATAATGCAGCTCTTCATCGCCAGTGAACGAACGAACAAATAAATGAATGAACGAACTTCACCAAGTCACTTTTCTTTAGATTATTATTTTAAGAAGATGAAACGTTCGGATTACCCATGATGCATCGGTGCCGTCTCGTCTGGGTCTGTATTAACGTTTTAACGCTGCGTTTAAATTGGATTAGATCAATAATGATTTCATCGCTGCTAATAATAATAATAATAATAATGATGATGATGATTCGCTCTCATTGTTTATGACTGTATTTTGTGTTTTTGCACCTCTACGCTCCAGGAACCGTTGCAGGAGGACGTCGCTCCGTTTAGGTGTTTCTCTGAAAGATGTTTTGTTCAGATTTCGGCCCCGAATGAGAGATTTCACAAATGCTGTGCCTGCTGGGTGAATCGCACAGCCAAGGTTTCAGTGTTTCACCCTCACATTAAAAGAAAGACGGAAGAAATTATATTGTTAAGAGCATTGGAAAAGTTGCGAATTACATTTTCCTTATATAAATGAATTCCCATTACTGTAATACAGTAATACAAGGAGAAAAAAAATACTTTTTTTTAAAATTTTATATCACAGTCAGTATGGATTAAATTGAGTACAATACATACTGCTATTATGTGTACTTGAAAAATTTACAATTTAAATAAAATGTACCATTTTTTTCACAGTACAAGTGTAAATTATGGAAAAAAATGGTAATATACACCTTTTTTCTTAAATCAAAATCTAACTTCGTATTTAATTCTTTTGATTTAGGGGCTAAAACTCGGTAAAACTCTGACCCGGACAGAAAGCGTGAGATTCACCCCGTTTTACTTTGCTTCATTCTGCTTTATGAAGACATTTGAATGCACTTGCGTCGTCAGCCTCCTGAATAATGAGCTTGATTTTGACCCTTGCCGTTAAATTATTTAATCTGAGATTGAATGTTGAAGATGTTAATATTCAAGACGTTGGTTTGTATGATAATTCATCACTAACGTTCATTGCTGAAGATGTATAAACCCAAAGTCGTGTCCGAAAATTAATCGATCTGTTAATCACTCGTTGGTTTTTACTTTTGAATGTTTCACATAACAGTTGCCTTAAATATTATGAATTGGAAAAGTTTTGAACTTTGCATGTTGATCTGGTTGTTTTCCTCAAATCTTTATTTCTAAATGTCCCTCTCAGGCGAATAATATGAATAAAAATAAATAATAAATCGTAGTTTGTAGAAACAGCTCGATGCTGCCACCCCGAAAACAAAAGTTGAAATTACTTTTGTGAGATGTCCTGAGTTTGTGCAATTGATGTTATTAATGTTCAAATGAATGATCTTTTATTTGCAGATGATTAAAGTCTAATATTTGAGGAATTGATTTAGTTACGAGCGCCTGCTGCTGATATCGTTGATTCTTACAGTTCCAGTAAGGGATTAAATATGTTTGCGTTTCTGGATTCATCTCTTGCAGTATGATACTTTCTTCACACTTATTCATAAGCTTTGATTCTGTCGCTTGTTGCCAAATCCTTTCACTTTAAACGGGACAACAGATTTAAGCTCTCATTAAATCTTGCAGATGGAAACGTCCAATGTTATTTCTGTTTGTTTGTTTCTCTGAAGACATACTCAGTGTTATTAGTTATGTAAATCGCCTGTTTCTGACTAACTGTTGATTTGATTGTAACATTGCTCTGATTTTTGAATAAACGCTCCTGTAAAATAAAGATTGCTATATTTATGATACCTGGTGTTTTTTGTTTGTTTGTTTTGTTTTTAAGTACTTCAGCAAAAGTTAATTTACCCAAAGCCTAATTAAGATGTAATAGTATAGCTATAAAGCTAAAAATGTGCAAAAATACAGCTGGAATCTTTTGAGAAAATGTATATGAACTGTTTATATTTAGCATGAATGTAACAAGAGTGATTAATGAGATGGTAAATCCAGATTATTATGACTTTAGTTACTAACTTACTTTTCTTGTCGTCGTGTCATAATTATGATTAAAAAAGTGTGGCTGAAATGGTCTTCCATGTAAATAATACCGCTGTCGTTTATGTCTGTAAAATAATATGTCTCTGTCTTTTCCCTCTATATATTTTACAATATATGCCGATAAATTACTGAAACTATTACATTATCCTAAATGTTGAACGTAAAATTTACCTCAAATCGCATTATTGTTGTGTTGAGGAGGAGTTTTCCCGCGCTGGCGACCCAAAATGTTCCACATCCGGGTTCTCCGCGAGTCTCGTGAGTTTGATCGGAAATGCGCGGAACGACTCACGGAAGAAAAACAGGAACACAATAAACAGTGAATTCTGAGCATTAAACGAATAAAGAGGACTTTTTTAAATATTAAAGAATGAAATATAACCATTAACAAGATATAAAGCCTTTCATGGGGGATTTAAAATGCCTTTGTTCACACTGAGAGATGATCATCTAGCTGTTTGATTGACAGGTAAAGCTGTTCCTCTCTAACGGTTCATCATCGTATCAAATCATAATTATGACATTTAAATCAGATTTTGTTTTAAACTTCAGACCGATTTGAATGAGACATTAGTATTAATACAGTAGCCAGAACACGTCACTTGATTTATCTGTAATAGAAAGTGAAACCAAAGAAATCTGTAGTGAAACATTTGAATGATTAGTAAATTAAAATATATATTTTTAATTGTAGAATTTAAGCACCCTTAACATGAAATAACCTAACAATTCAAATTCCATGGTACTGATTGATTAAAATATTCATATTCCATGCGGGGTTGCCATTATCAAATGTCAGCTACACACACACACACACAGTGGTCAATATTTGAAGTGGATCAAAACCTTTATGAAAGTTCGCCTATCCATTAATTTTGAACAATACTCGTTCTAGTCTTAGGACTTTTTTTTTGGATTGACTTTAAATGTTGAATATATTCTAAACATATATATATATATATATATATATATATATGCTGTATATCCAAACATCTACTAGTGATTTTTGACCATTTCTTTAATTTGAACTTCCCTCAAGTTTTAGTGTGTGGAGTGTTTTATTAAAAAAAACCCATTGTTACAGTTTGGGCCATCACACAGTAGAAGTGAAAAGCAGAAACTCACCCAGAATACCCATGATGCTCTCTGCGGAAGCGAGAAGAGGAACCGCCCCGTTCTAATAATACGAGGTGTGTGTTTCAGGAACATGTGGTGGTTTCAGGAGGGCTTGTGTGTTCTGCCCGTGGCACTGGTCATCTGGACCTCCGCCACCTTCATCTTCGCTTACATCACGGCCGTCGTCCTGAGACACGTGGACCCGCTGGTGCCCTACATCAGGTGAGCATGGGCCGCGCATCCATGCAGATGTTATAGTTCAATTTCAATTCGCAAGCTCTCAATTTGATTTTATTTTTTATTTAGATTCTAAATTCAATTTGCGATTCGCAAGCCCTCGCCTCGATTCGATTTTCGATTCTAAATTCGGTTTTCGTTTTCGATTCGCAAGCTGTTGATTCGATTCCTATTTCGCAAGCTATTGATTCGATTTTCGATTCTAAATTCGGTTTTCGATTCGCAAGCTGTTGATTCGATTCCTATTCGCAAGCTCTTGATTCGATTCTAAATTTGATTTTGATTCGCAAGCTCTCGATTCGATATTTGATTTTGTTTCGCAAGCTCTTTGATTCTAAATTAGATTTGCAAGCTCTTGATTCGATTTCAATTCTAAATTCGATTCGCAAGCTCTTGATTCGATTCTAAATTCGGTTTGATTACGATTCGCAAGCTGTTGATTCGATTATGATTCTAAATTCGGTTTCAAATTCACAAGCTTTCGATTCTATTCCAAATTCGATTCGAAACAATGAAAATAGATTTAATATGCATCCTATATTATGATTCTAAATTCAATTTGCGATTCGCAAGCTCTCGATTCGATTTTCGATTCTAAATTCGGTTTTCGATTTCGATTCGCAAGCTGTTGATTCGATTCCTATTCGCAAGCTCTAGATTCGATTTTCGATTCTAAATTCGGTTTTCGATTTCGATTCGCAAGCTGTTGATTCGATTCCTATTCGCAAGCTCTTGATTCGATTCTAAATTTGATTTTGATTCGCCATCTCTCGATTCGATTCGAAATTTGATTTTGATTCGCAAGCTCTCGATTTGATATTTGATTTTGATTCGCAAGCTCTTTGATTCTAAATTGGATTTGCAAGCCCTTGATTCGATTTCAATTCTAAATTCGATTCGCAAGCTCTCGATTCGATTCTAAATTCGGTTTTCGATTACAATTCGCAAGCTGTTGATTCGATTACGATTCTAAATTCGGTTTCAAATTCACAAGCTTTTGATTCTATTCCAAATTCGATTCGAATCAATGAAAATAGATTTAATATGCATCCTATATTTATGGAAAAAAGAACACTGAACTGAAGTTTACAAGTGGTTAATTAATAAAAAGAAATTGAGGGCCACAAACCTGTATTTTAAACTCTGTTAATTTAGGTAAATTAACACAGAACGTTATATTTCAAACTCATACAATGAATAGACAGGATTTTGATGCAAAACGAACATGGGATAAATCAGAACAGTGGCACGCCTTGATCAACCCGGATCAGGTTATTTTATGTTTAAGATACAATACACAGCCTGTGACCTTTGACCTGTGAGTGTGTTTGGTGTTGTGCTTGCAGTGACACCGGGACGGTGGCGCCGGAGAGATGCGTGTTTGGACTCATGCTCAATGTGTCGGCGTTCTTAGGTACTGAGACCCGTAAGAGCTCACGCTGACGAGTGTGTGTGTGTGTGTGTGTGTGCTTCAGGGATGTAATGCTGCGTGTTCTCCTGCAGGTGTCGCTACGATGTACGTGCGCTATAAGCAGCTCCAGGCCCTAGTGGATGATGCCGACACTCGTCTGAACTGCCTCAATCGGGTCGGGCTCGCTCTGGGCTGCGGAAGCTCGTTCGGCATGTGCGTCGTCGCAAACTTCCAGGTACGTACAGTGTGTGTGTGTGTGTGTGCTTTGATGTTCAGACCAACACGAATTAAAATTCGCCCTGATTTAGCAACATAGTCCAAGTGCATGAATCTTATTGGCTGGCCAGTTTTATCGAATAGACGCATTAACAGCCGCATTAAAATATTCGCAACAAATATTCTCCAGTTAACACCAACACAAAAATGTTTAGCATGAAATTTATGTCAGATTTTTTCGCATTCAATTTTTGTGTTTATACAAATACCATATTTGTATGTTTTCAAACAGCCATTCAGATTTTTTTTATCCGCTAAGGTGTTTATCAAACAACACAGAAAGAGCCATGGCACAAATTTAATTGGTCGGCCAATTTTCTTCGCAGTCAATCTGTCACATTGACGACACCAAACGCAATGTTCAATTATAGAAGTAAAAATTCGAAATTAAAATTTGGTCTGATTATTTAAAATGTTTATCACTCATAATTTTCACGCCAAATAATCGCCAATTCGCACCAACACAAAAATATTTCGCATTATAATTCTGTCTGATTTTACGCATTCGATTCGATTCGTATGTTCAGACCAATAAACAATGCGAAAAACTATGTTTATCAAACAATACAGATAGAGCCGATTCCGGAAAAAATAGTGCAAATTTGATTGGTTGGCCAATTTTCTTCTCAGACAGTCTGTCGCATTGATGACATGCAAATGTTTGTGTCTGAACAGACACGTTAGCTGACGTTCGTTTAAATTAAAATAAGAAAATGTCTGATTTTTTTACGTCCGATTCGTGTCAGTTGCTTCCAGAAAAAAAAAATGCGCAAATTTGATTGGTTGGCCAACTTAAATTAAAAATAATAATAAAATGTTCCAACACAGAAATTCATTTTCGTCATTTTCATGTTCTGATGTTACGTTTCTGTAGTTCTGCCGCATAGTAGAAGAGTCCAAATGCACAAATCTTATTGGTTGGCCAGTTTTCTTCGCAGTGTGATGGAAAGGAAATTAAAAATGTCCGTGTTCGGTCTGAACGGCCATGTACAGATTGCCGCAGCTAACCGTGTCGTTCCCAGAAAACCACTCTGTTCTCGATGCACCTGGTGGGCGCCGTGCTGACGTTCGGCGTGGGCGCGCTCTACGTGTTCGTCCAGACGCTGCTGTCGTTCCTCATGCAGCCGCACGTCCACAGCAAAGCCGTGTTCTGGACGCGCCTGAGCATCGGCGGCTGGACGCTAGCCAGCATCATCAGCAGTATCCTTCACCCGCTGCATGCTGGGAAGTGTAGTGATTAGTGTTGAATGTGGTTGGTTCCTTGATTCGCTCAGTGTTCGTGTCGTCCGTGATCATGTACAGCTCTTTACCGGGAGTCGAGGTCAACAAGAAGCTCCACTGGACGCCCGGAGAACCCGTGAGTCCAACTCTCGTTAGCGTTAGCGCTGGCTAACGTTTTAACAATTCTTATTCTGCTTATCGATTCCTAATTTCGATCCCAATATGGTATAATAATAAAAAACTTGTATATCATTCACATTTACTGTTATTGCAAACCATAAACACTCATAACACATAAAACATTAGCGATCGCAACAAATAGACACACCTGAACAAAGATACGACTGTTTTATAACAAGTGTTTTTGTTGTTTTCAGGGGTACACGCCGCACATCGTCAGCACCATCTCTGAGTGGTCTCTCGCGCTGTCCTTCGTCAGCTTCTTCCTCACCTACATACGAGACTTCAAGGTAAGGCACCTCACATCTGACGACACACACCTTCTGAACGCCTCTGACGCGCGCATGTGTGTGTGTGTGTGTGTGTGTGTGTGTCCGCAGAAGATCAATCTACGAGCCGAGGCGCAACTTCAGAGCAACCATCTTTACGACTCGCATCATCAGCGTCCCGCTTCTTCCCGCGCGCGGACGGAGACGTCGCCGCTCCTCGCCGGCAGCATCTGATCACACACACACACCTCACACTAACATCTGTACAACCGTCATGTTTTACACTCCTCGCTTTATTTTCTGCTGGGATCATGTTTTATAGTCTATTCTGTACTTCACTGTAAAACTACAATACTGGGTCATATTTCACACTCCATAAATGTGAATTTCAATTTTTTTTATTTTTTATTAATACAATGATTAATGGCATCCAAAATAAAGTTTGTGTTTACACAATATATGTGTGTGTGCTGTGTATTATTATTTTGTATATATAATTACACAAATATGCATGTACTGTATATATTTAAGACAAATGTGTTATTTACATATAATATATATATATGTGTGTGTATTTATATACAAAAAAATTATACACTTATAAAATTATAAAAAAATTATATAAATAATTATTTTGGATGCGATTAATCGTTTCCCAGTACTAATAAATAATAACCATAATTGATAATATTTTAAAAAAGACTACAGTAATACAGCCAGACATGCGAGTTAAATAGTTTAAATATGTTTAATGTCATGAAAATAATGTCACAATGTTAAAACAAGCTTCAGTTTGTATAATAGTATAATATAATTTCCTACTTGAATGAGGTATAATATGAGTCTCGCTCACACTGATCAGCACATGTACTTTATATTTTATTACATTAAAAATAAAATAATAATAAACAGTGTTAAATATTCACCAACGATTGTCTGATTTTTGATTAGAAGTGTTTAGACCACGACGCCGCGCACCCAGCGGCCCTTCATCCTCTCCCTCCTCTTCCTCTCGCGGTGCTCCGACACCTTCTGCTGGAAGAACCCTACACACACACACACACACACCGTCTTCAAAGGTTGCCCTCTTTGCTTTTTAACCTTTCCAGAAGTAAACAGAGCCTGTATTCAGCCCTCCGAAGCTCTACAGAAGCTCCAAGGGTCATGACCCTTTCCCATAATGCTTCATTAGGAGTGCACGATATATCGGCCACCGTATCGGTCTATATATGTTCATGTTTAATGTTATCGTTATCGGCCCGATACGAACATTTGTCCGATATATTAAAGCCGATAAATAATGTAATATTTCCCACGGCTGAGACTCTTCAGATGCGACTGTTCAACATGAAGCTGATATGAAAATATGATTAAAATCACTTAAGTACAGTCTGTCGTATCGGCTCTATGACATCATAATAAGAAGAGAACGTCATTATAATTGTGTGTATGGGACGTGGATTTTAACGACGAGACTTGTTTTTGTAATCAGGCTCTCAAAAATGATATCAAATATTTGATTTAGATTTATCGTCCAACATATCGGCTTTTTCGAAAATTGAAATTCTCATATCGGTGCATCCCTAATTCTTTATGTATATCCTGTTTGGTTTTATTGTGATTTTTTTATATTTAGTGTTTTAGTTATAAACATTAGTGTCAAACATGGTTATAAAAATAAAGACCTAAATAGTGTTTCACGAATGTTACGATTTGGTTCCCAGAGAAATAGAGCGCTCAGTTAAATTTTGTTATTTTTATTAACAATAACTTATAAACGTAAACGAGTGACGAGGTTGTTCATTGATGGTATTTGCTGTTGTCGAAGTCGTAATAACTAAATTCATGGGGGAAAACTACGTTACCCATGATGCCGTGCAGAAAATTCCACCAATCAGAGTCGAAACATGCAAAAGCTCCGCCCACTCCTATGAAGCACTGCGAATAACATAATCAAGTTACTCTCAAAATACTTCAAATATATTGTCAGCATTTTTAAATGAGCGGTTTTATATTTCTCCATTGTTTTTAGTTTAATGATTCGGTTTGCAATGCTTCATGGGATTGTTGTTCTTTCCCTCACTGAAGCCCTTTGTCTGAAATCAAATCAAAGTTGTGATTCTCCTCGTTGCTGGTTGGTTTTGTTCACGACTTTTCGCTTTTATTGCCATTGGCTTGCTTAGTTGAGGACATTTAATGTAAAAATGTAATTTAAAATAAATAAAACTAGCGTTCTGGAAGCATTAGCTCTCACCGTTCGGGTTGGGCTGCTTTTCCTCCTCCTGTACGAAGAGGTCGAACATCTGCGTCTGGATGAAGGGTTTGACGAAGCTCAGGTGCGCTCGATGATCCACGGCCTTCAGGAAGCTCTTCTTCTGGAACCGGCGGCTCTTGATGTGTTCGGAGAAGTGGCCCACGGTCTTGATGAAGACGGTCAGGAAGGCCTCGGACACCAGCCGGTTCAGCTCGTCTGTGGCTGCCGGAACACACGACAGCAGGAAGTGAGCGGGAGTCTGACAGGAAGTGGGCGTGATTACCGTAGTGGGGCTGAACTCACTGGCGTGGGGTGTGCGCGCGGACAGACTCGTCAGAAGCCCCGCCCTCAGTTTAGCGGGCAGGAGCGACTCCTCGTCGCCAATCTAAAAACACACAGTCGTTATTGTCTCTAGGGCGTTGCTATGCGGTCGCTAGGGTGCTCTGGCTTCTTGAGAAGTTGTTAGTGTCCTTCTATCACGGTTGCTATACAGTGGATAATGTGTTCTACAGTTGCTAGAGTGTCTAACACATTGTTATGCAGTCGCTAGGGTGCTCTGTCTTGTTGAGCGGTTCTTAGTGTACTTCTGCCACGGTTGCTAGGGTGTTGCTATACAGTGAATAATGTGTTCTACAGTTGCTAGAGTGTCTTTATCACATTGCTATGTGGTTGCTCTGGCTTGTTGCCATGGCGGGGCCATTAAGTTGTTGTGAGTGGTTGTAAGCCTACTACTATCACGGTTGCTAGGGCATTGCTATACAACGGGTAATGTGTTATACAATTCCTAGAGTTTTTTCACACGTTGCTATGTGGTTGCTAGGCTGTTCTGGTTTGTTACCGGGATGTGGGTAAGTCATTTTGAGTGGTTGTTATTGTACTTATATCATGGTTGCTAGGGCGTTGCCATACTGTGGATAAAGTGTTCTACAGTTACTAGAGTGTTTTGAACACGTTGCTAGGTTGGTGAGGATAGTTAGCATTAAGTTGTAAAAGGTTGTAAGCGTCTAAAATCATGGTTCTACTATTATGGTTGCTAGGGTCTTGCTGTTCAGTTGATATAATGTGTTCTACAGTTGCTAGAGTGTCTTTAATCACATTGCAATACGGCTGATCGGATGTTCTGGGTGTTTTTGGCATGTTGCTATGTGGTTGCTAGGGTGTTCTGGGTGGTTTCAAGGGTGTTGCTATGCAGTTGTTTGTGTGTTCTAGCACATTGCTATGTGCTTGCTAGGGAGCTCTGGGTGGTTTCCAAGGCGTCGTTATGCAGTTGCTAGGCTGTTATAGGTGGTAACTAGTGTGTGGTTTTTAGTTCAGAATGTTAT